TATCTAGGCCGAGACGCAACCCGGATTTATCAATGGACTCTTGGATATCTTGCAGGGCGAGCAGAACAATGCTGTCCAGCTCTCTGGTAAGTTTTTGGGTGTTCATATTGGTTCACTAAGGAACTTTTGTCTCTTACTGACCCCGCTCTTTCCTATAGCTGGTGTTTACCTGAAGAACCGTATCACCCGTGGATGGGCCCCCGTCGAAGATAGCCCGCAGCGTACGCCAATTCCTGAAGCGGAGAAGCCCAGTTTCAGGGAGAGACTTATCCCTGCCTTGGCCTCGACGCCTCCCAATGTCCGCAATCAGCTGGTTCCCCTCCTTCAGAAGATCCTCCAAAACGACTTCCCCGAGCAGTGGCCCGGATTCTTGGATCTCACTTTGCAGCTCCTCGGTACCAATGACGCAAGTACGGTCTATGCGGGTCTGCAGTGTCTTTTGGCAGTCTGCCGGGTTTACAGGTTTAAGGCCGGCGAGAAGAGAGAGGAGTTCGATAAGATCGTGGAGCTTTCATTCCCCCAGCTGCTCAGCATCGGATCAAAGCTTGTGGATGAGGAAAGTCTGGAGGCTGCGGAGATGCTCCGTATTGTGGTGAAGGCTTTCAAGCACGCAATTTACGTAGGTTACCCTGATTCTAGTCTGCGCGTGGCTAAGCTGTTTATACTGACTTATTGCGGATTTAGTTCGAACTTTCTCCGTGCCTACAAACCCACCAGGCGACTGTGGACTGGTGTACATTGTTCTTGCGCATTATCTCGAAGACACCCCCTGCGAGCTCAATGGCTGATTCGAAGGAGGAGAGGGAGATGAACCACTGGTGGAAGTGCAAGAAGTGGTCATACGCCAACCTGAACCGCCTGTTCATCAGATATGGCAACCCAACCACGATCACGAAATCATCTACCCCCGACTACACACCGTATGCGAAGACCTTTATTAGCACTTTCGCTCCCGAAATTCTCAAGGGATACCTGACGGAGATTGACAAGTGGGTGTCCAAAACTCAATGGCTCAGCAACTCCGCACTCTCATATACTTTGGTCTTCATGGAGGAGTGTGTCAAGCCAAAGGCCATGTGGGACCACTTGAAGCCGCACATGGACAACTTGATCGCCCACTTTGTTTTCCCTATCTTGTGCCAGTCTGACGAGGACATTGAGCTTTTCGAGGATGACCCATCTGAGTATCTCCACCGCAAGTTGAACTTCTACGAGGAAGTGTCTGCTCCTGATGTTGCCGCCACAAACTTCCTGGTTTCCCTCACCAAGAACCGCAAGAAGCAGACCTTCTCGATTCTTACATTCGTGAACAGCGTTGTTAGCAAGTACGAGTCTGAGCCGGAAGAGCAGAAGCAGCCCAGAGAGAAGGAGGGTGCTTTGCGAATGATTGGATCGCTTGCTTCCGTCATCCTGGGCAAGAAGAGCCCGATTGCTGACCAGGTCGAATACTTCTTCGTCCGTCATGTCTTCCCCGAATTCCGCAGCCCCCACGGCTTCCTCCGTGCTCGTGCTTGTGATACCCTGGAGAAGTTCGAGCAACTCGACTTCAAGGACCCCAACAACCTCATGGTTATCTACCGAAACATCCTCGAGTCCATGACCGATTCCGAACTTCCTGTACGAGTTGAGGCCGCCCTTGCTCTGCAGCCCCTTATCCGTCACGATGTCATCCGTACATCGATGCAGCAGAACATCCCCCAGATTATGCAGCAGCTTCTCAAGCTGGCCAATGAGGTCGATGTGGATGCTCTGGCTAACGTTATGGAAGACTTTGTTGAGGTCTTCTCTGCTGAGCTTACTCCCTTCGCTGTGGCGCTGAGCGAGCAGCTCCGTGATACTTACATGCGTATTGTTGGTGAGCTCCTAGAGCGCAACGCCGCCAAGGGTGGTGATGAAGATGGCTACGGTGATTTCTTGGACGACAAGAGCATCACCGCCCTGGGCGTGTTGCAGACCATCGGCACTCTCATCCTCACACTTGAGAGCACCCCTGATGTGCTTCTGCACCTTGAGACCATCTTGATGCCCGTCATCAGCATCACCCTGGAGAACAAGCTCTATGGTAAGTTTTTTAATCTCTTAAGTGCATGTCCAGCTCTAATTGGTTATTTTAGATCTCTACAACGAAATTTTCGAGATCATTGACAGCTGCACATTCGCATCCAAGACCATTTCCCCGTCCATGTGGCAAGCTTTCGAGCTGATTCACAAGACCTTCAAGGCTGGTGCTGAGCTGTATCTCGAAGGTAAGTAGTTCACATCAGTTCACCCGGTTTGAATTTCTATTGACTTTTCTGCGTGCAGACATGCTCCCCGCCCTTGACAACTATGTCGCTTATGGCTCCGATATGCTGGTTCAGAACCCAGCCTACCTGGACGCTATGGTCGGTATGGTGCAGGATATCTTCTCTGACGAGAAGGTTGGTGGCGTTGACCGCATCTGCGGGTGCAAGCTTGCCGAGACCCTGATGCTCAACCTTCGGGGTCACATTGACCAGTATATCCCCATGTTCATTGAGATGGCTATGCGGGTTATCGACGCCGGCGAGGCACGCACCAAGTCGTACCGTATCCACTTGATGGAGATGGTCATCAACGCTATCTACTACAACTCAGCTCTCAGTCTTCAGGTTATGGAGGCCAAGGGCTGGACCAACAAGTTCTTCAGCACTTGGTTCGCTAACATCGACAACTTCAGACGCGTGCACGACAAGAAGCTGTCAATTGCCGCAATCAGCTCGCTGCTTACTCTGAAGGCTACCGATGTACCAGTCAGTGTCCAGCAGGGATGGCCCAGACTTTTGCAGGGTGTGACCAGACTCTTCCAGACCCTGCCTGCTGCTCTCAAGCGTACGTTTCCCCCAATCTCCCGTCGTGTTCCCCCAAGGCTAAGAATTTATTCAGAACGTGAGGATGCTACCAAGGAGTCCGACTTCACCCTCGATGACGAGGATGATGAGGACGACGAGGACAATGACTGGGATGGAGATGTTGAGTGGGACGAAAACGAGGTTGAAGCAGCTCTTGAGGAGGACGACGTCCCCGACGAGAGTGCCGCTTACCTCGACTTCCTCAACCAGGAAGCTCAAAAGTTCGGCTCCTACGCCGATGACGACGATGATGATATGGACGAGGAAAGCCTCCTGGAGACCCCTCTGGACAAGGTTGAGCCATATGGCATGTTCAAGCATGTCCTGCTGAGTAAGTGATCTCCATGTAGTATCCGGGATCCTTTATGTATCACCCGCTAACCTCGATTACAGGCCTCCAGCAAGAACAGCCCCAGCTCTACGAGAGTCTGACCAAGGTTCTCGGCCCCGAAGAGCAGCAGGTCATTCAAGGCGTCTTCCACGAAGCTGACGCCAAGGCCATGGTCGCCGCTGCCAATGCAGAAGCCGCTGCCGCTGCCGGCATGCAGGCCAACGGCAACTAAGAGACTATAACCGAGATGGATTGAGAAAAACAAAAAAAGCTTCGAATTTCCAATGCCTCGGCCGTCTAGTCTCTATTTCTTTCCCCGTTTCCACATTTTCCTCACGAGACCATATGCCCATTTCATGTCTTTCCCGCTTCTTTAGATCATGTCCCATCTGCTCTGTACCTCCGTGTTTCTTTCGTCATGTCTTTTTCCTGCCATGCTCTCGCTGATGTACTCTTAAAAGTCCTACCCGTGGACATTCCGCTCGAGGGTATTCCCCCTCCTCCCTCCTTCTAATCCTCTTCGATGCACAGATTCCCCTGAAGACACCCTTGTTTCCACATGATATAGTACATCAGCCATGCTACGGATGTTGGATTTCAGTTCTGGAACCTGTAGTACCGTAGATACCAGCCACATAGGTGGACTCGGGACTGAATCCACATTGTTACGAAACATATCAAGATTACTCATGTAGATATACAAGTCCTGGAGGATGGCCAACAAGGCACCAAAAACACAAAGAGTACGAGCGACTATGTATGCCACCGGCTCATAATTCTCCTATTAAATACCACCTCGTCGCCTCTTTCATCGCCGCCTTCTTGAATGAAGCATACACTTATTCGTAATTAATTTCAATTTGCATACTAATTCCAACTTCTCTTTTATTTTCTACAAGAATAGTCGGCCTGGTTGACAGCCTTGAGATGTCTTTTTAGCTGGTCTTTTTGAATGTCTTTTTAAATGGCTTTTTAGGTATATGTCAAACGCGAGGAATGACGTCATATAATTCAGAGGTAATTATCAGATCCGGACGTCGATGCGGCCCCCTTTTAAAGTCAACCTGAAGATATGCATATATTTATGTTAGAAAGGCAGGCAAGCTCTAGAGTCATTCATCGCCCAAAAGCATTTTAATGTCCATTCTTGCTGTCGTAGTCTTTCAATCCATTTTCCATTTCAATACTACATCACCGGGCAGGTAGAACGACAATGCAATGCATGGCAGCGGAAAATTGAACATATCGAAGGTTAGCTGACCAAGAGATAAGAATGATGCTAGTTAAAATATGTAATAGTTAGAAAGGATAGAAGTTGAGGAAATAGTCCAGTGCCGATGCGTTTTATATCAAGGATCTATGACTGTACAGCTTCGTAGTACAACTAAGTAATGATTCTTGCGCAGGCCAGCCCCAAGTCACATATTATATCGCTATTGATGTTCTTACTGTAGTCAAGAACTTGCAATGTCCTATGGTAGTTGTACGTAGGTAAAATAAAGACACGCCTGGTTCCAAGTGCCACTCCACAACGTCATCATGATGAACCCCAATGACCGGTTTAGCTGGTCACGTCAGTTGATTTCCAGGATAGAATAAAAGGAGCACTATTCTTTCTTGAATTCTACTGTTTAAACACAAATACTCTACTTTGTACATCATCCATTACCACAGCTACTTCAAGGTCAGTACCAGAGTTGGGATCATCGTCTCATACTTCGTTTCTCCTATTCAATTAAGAAACTCACACGTATCCCTCTCTTTAGCACATCAAATCCAACTCAACAACATCCATAATAATGTCTGCCCCCTTATCTGGTCGTCAATCCCCCTCTCCGGAGCGCCAAACTGGCGCCCAGCAGCAGGATACTCCCGGATCCGGCAGGACCAACGTTGGCAAACACCCGGCACCCAATTTCTCACAGCAATCATCGGAAGACTACAAGAACAATGTCCTCACGAGCAACCCCGAACACCCGCTTGAGAAAATTCAGGCGGAGAAGTTTGCTAAAGGAGCACAACATTGAGATGGGATATGTCTTGCATGTACTTGTAAGGAGTTTGTCGATGAATTTTGGATAATGATTACATGACGAATAAGCTCGAATAACTGTCTACAGTTGAGTTATATACTTGATACAACAAAATATTACGTTTCTGGAGTGAAATCAATCTTTTATGTCCATTTGCTTTGCTTATTGGGAGACCCGTAGTTATCCCGTAGTTGTCAAAAGGCTCGCTTGTAGCAAGAGCCAAAAAATCAGGTTATCACACAGGCAGGAAAGAAAATAAACTATGGACATGGCATGACATCATAAAAGGGGAAAGGACAAAGCAGTAGACACAGAACAAACACGCCCAGCGCAAATATTCATCTCCGCATTAAGTTAAGACCTCATTCCCAGGATCGCTTAAGACTTCTCAACGGGCGCGGCAGCAGCCTCCGTCTGAGCAGGAACAGCAACGGGCGCAGCAGGGGCAGTAATGCCAGGAGCAGCAGTAGCAGCAGCAGCAGAGGCAGGGACAGGGGCAGCAGCCTCAGCCTCACCAGTCTTACCCTGCTTCAGGTCCGCCAGGCGACGAGCCTCAGCGTGAATATCGCGCACCTGCTTATCGGTCTGCACATAAAAGTCACGCAGCTTCTGGCCGGAGGGGTGCTCCAGAGCCTTCTCGAAGTACGAGCTCAGGCCGCGCCAGCCAGTAGCCGCCTTGGTGGAGATCTTGTAGCTATCATCGATACCCCTAGCGCGCTCGGTGGCATTGTACTTCTTATCGAAGTTTGTGAGGGCCGAGGTGAAGCGGCTCGAGACTCCGTGCTTCTGGTCCAAGGCGATCGCCTTCTCGATCGCATTGTCGCTCACAACGTACCCGTGTGCCAGGTACTCTGCGACGATGCGGGATCGGGGCTTGTCTTCTTGTGCGATGTGGTGCTCTTCATCCTTGGTCTCGCTGCCGGCGCCGGTGGCTTGGGCTCCGGCTAGGTCTTCGATGTTGTGGGCTGCTTCGACGTGCACGGCAGAAGTGCCGAGTTGGGTCTGGTCGAGGAGAAGGGCGGTCTTGGCAGCGCTGTTTTTAGGAATTGGGTTAGTTTTGGGGGTTTCATGTAGATTGCGGGCCGATTGCGGGAAGTGAGGTTGAAATTGGGTGCGGGGTAGCTTACGCTTCCTTTTCAAAGGTCACAGTGGCGGACTTTTGAGCGTCGGCTTCCCCAGAGACCGGGGTGATGGAGAGGGTAACAATCTTTCCACTGTTCAAGTTAGCATTTTGTCAAATAAAGCAATAATTGCAACAATTTACCAGAAGCTGAAGAAGTCGCGAACCTCCTTCTCGGAGGTTGTTGACGAGATGCCAGAAACGTGAACGGTAGAGTGAGACATTTTGGTTTTAGGTAGAGGGAGAAAAGAAGAATCTTGCGAAAGAAATCTAAGCGTCACACCATTTCCCAGGTGGGATGCGACTATTTATCTAGTCTACTGCGCCACAGGTGACGTGGTGACGTATGGAGGGGCTGTTGCACCGCCTCACATAGCTAATTTCTTTTTGGTTTCTTGTTTTGTTGAGCTTTTTGTTTAATTGGACTACATTATTTTCAATGGAGCTGCCTGGAAAATACATTTCACATGTCAAAAATAGCATTTCATTGAATGTGTTTGCCTGCAAACCTCCCGATATGAAAATGTTGTGCACTGCCTCCACGGTGGCAATGCGAAAGAATGATATGGGTTGGAATAGAAGTTCAATCAGGCATCACTAATTCTTTCCGACGGTGTAACAGAAGCTTCAGTTGCCGAATCCTCCTTTTGTCTCTTTAAAGTCTGCTCCAGATCCCGCACGCGCCTCCTGAGCTGTTCGTTCTCCCGCTTCATGTATTCCACCTCCAACCTATGATGTGTAGCCTCCTCAAACCGCGACAGCGAGCTCCCGGGTGAATGGCCTTGTTGGGTCTGTGATACTGAGTTCCGGTGTGGGTATACACTGCTGTTATTGTGGGAGAATGAGGAAAGTGACCCGATGGAAGGTCGGCGAGATGTGAGGGATGGCTCTCGACTGCGAGCCGTTCGAGAATGGTCTGTCGGGCGATATGGGATCTCTCGAGATGGAGCAATTCCAGTGACACTTGCAGACTGCTGGCCCTGGTTTGCTGAAGCATGTGAACTAAGGCTCGAACTGGACCGGTTCCGTCGCGCAGAGTGAGATGGGGTTGAGCTGCTGAGGGTGGGCGATGCCCGTGCGCCATCTGCCTCGTTAAATGTCGAGGTGGAGGATGCTGTCGATGCCACAGATGCTGTCTGCTGGCGGAGAATAGATAGCTCTCGAGTCAATCGATTCACCTGCGGGGAGTTTTGATACGTTAGCGGTTGAGGGATAAGTGTACTTTGGGGCTCTGAAATTCCACATACCATCGCTTCTTGCTCTTTCTCGAGCACTAGATGGAGATCCGAAGTCGTCAGCGGCTGAGGATGACGCAATGGCCCTTGTTTCGTTAGTCGGGGAGCTCATCAAAGTGACGCCTGCCACTGTGGACTTACCCTGAGCGGTTCTTGTAATCCCATTATCGCCCGTTCCGAGTGGTGGACTCCCTGGGGGCGGGAGTGCTGCAGAGATATGAGGACCATGCGCTGGTTGTCGGGGTGTTAGAGATTGCGATGCCATAGCGGGTGCCGATGTTGTTGCACGAGGTCGTCCCATAGTAGAGGTCGAAATAGCGCTCAAGTCAGGAGCCATGGCCGTCAGGAATGTTCTGATGATATTGTTTAATGTTAAGTTTGCAGTTCCGCGCCTGCAGTCGGCATGAGAGTCGAGACGACCGAACTATAAGTGTTTCAGCCTTGGGATAAATAATCAGTAACAGTCAAATTTCCGGAATTATGAATCAAAACACCCCTTGATGCAATTCCAGGGAGATTCTTGAAACATACCAGTTATGGAGGGGTCAGAGGCCTACTCCTTTCGGGAAAGGAATTGAGAAAAGGCAGGAAGAGAATGACCTGAGAAAGTTGGGCTTCTCTCTTGCCGTGAGATGTTTTATCCTTTGTTGCTTTGATTGGGCCGTGCACGTAATCTGCATCTTAGGTAGTTAAGTTACTGGATGTACATGTGTACATGTACATCGTAGCTCTGGAGATAAAACAGTAGCATTCCAGACATCTGGTAGGAACATCTACACTATTCACCTAGATAAGAAAAGGCCGGCACGCGAAAGGGACTACACGGTGGTTGTTTCATAACAGAATTCATCAATATCTCGATTAATCTACTTATTGTACAAATGAACAGAGATAAAACGGAGTATACGTGGTGCTCAGGCCCCTTTTGAGGCATATTAGATGTCTCAATTGGAGCTATCTACCTATTATTGCTCAATTTATTGATCAACATCTCCAACTCTCCTCTAAGCCCCCAAGAAACGTCATGCTCAACATATCATAACCCTGGAGATGCTGGACTTCCCTGCAAAACAATAAGCTCCACTTGGGGGGAACCTCGGGATGATCTGCATGTTACATAAGCCTATCCGTGGACGAAAGAGCTGGGTAAACAACTTCAATCTCACAATATCTCTGTGGATTGTGGTGAAGTCTTTCAAGGCCTGTCAGGGTCTCAGCTTGTCTCTCCAGATATTAAAGCTTGCATAGCCACCTGGGTACTCCAAACCCCCGCCCAATGAAACGATGGCCCGACCCAACTCCCCTGACGCTACCCACATTCCACCAATTCTGAAACCACTCGCTCCTTACGTCAGGTCGCGCCAGGAAACCCTTCAAATTCGCCAGGCGTTGACGTCTTATCTGCGCTCATTTATCGAATTCGACGATCAGTCAAGTGATCATGCTCACTCCCACCTCTCCCTGTGTACGTCGACCGATGGTATTGCCGGTGTCAAACGTATCCCTACCGACCTCCCGGGGCTGAGAAAGGATTATCTCAAGGCATTGGCCGCCAATGTTGCAGCCCGCAAAGACTTCGCCTTGGCGTCTGAGAATGTCGCCTCGTTAAGGCGCCAGAGGACGTCCCCGAACCGCCCTTCTGACCACGCGGATCTCCAAGAGCCCGGCACCGAACTTCGTGAATACCTTGCCCTCCTACGCGATCAACGCCGCCATACCAAGCTGCAGGTGTTCCAGAATTATCTCGAGGAAATTAAAACGCGCGATGCGGGCAGCTTGGAGGACGTTGGCAATGATGGGGAGCAAATATTGTTGCCAGAGGTTGATACAGAGGCGGGGCACAATGGCACTGAAACAGACTTGGGTGGACTAGTGCATAGCCTCGAGAGAGCAGTTGTCCATGCGAGAACTCAATTGGACCATCAAAGGCAATTGTTTGAGAAAGCCAAGGCACAGCATGATCCCCAAACTGAGACTTCAGATGCCAAAGCAAAAGCATTACAAACGACTCGGGATGAGCTAGTACAATGGGTGGAGGAACGGCTGGTTGGTCAAGGGGATCCGGATGAGAGCCTGCTCCAAGAGCTTTCCCCGAAGGAAATCGAGGAAGCCCAGCGAGGGCTAGAGAATCGCAAGATGCAGATTACGGAGCAATATGCTGCTTATTTGCGAGCCCGGCGAGATCTCCTTGATGCCGCCTCCAGGGCTTGTCAGCCTATTAATGTGACCCAGAAGCCTCCATCACGCTCAATCAACAAAAACGAGCTCGTCATGGCAGAAATGCCACCACCCAACCCAATCGACGTTCTATCATACACAAACGAAAACCTGGTCCCGCTATATAAGAGTCAAAAGTCGCTGGCTCAGCAGAAATCCTATTTATCCGGCTTACTCTCAAAAGAAAAGTCTACGACTCTCCGTGCTCTCAATCGTCTGAGCGATGAATCCCACCTACTCCCCGAATATCCCACTCCCGCCCGCCAGCCACGGGCTACTGCTCTTAGCTCGCGAATCCAGACGCAAACCTCCGATCAGACCCCGGATGAGGTTGTTGGTCTTGCTGAAGCATGGGCATTTGCTTCTAATGCTGCAGCTGCCAATGGACGAGACTTTGTTCAGCAAAAGATCGCATTGGGTACCGAGGTTGCACAGGATGCCCGACAAACCCTGGCTGATGTATGTAAAACTCTCAATCAGGACTTCGATGAGGTCATGCTGGAGGGTCGGGAGAACCTAAAGGGCTCGGATTCCTGGGCCTCCGATGTTCGCTCCGCGAAGGGGGTGTCGAGGGGTGGTGGGTCTCGGATTGAGAAACAACCGAGTGGTCCTTGGTCAGGTTTGAATGGCAGAGTTGGGGTTATAGAATAATGCACTGTGTCGTATTTATGGCGATAGTCCTTCCTAATATATAATATACCCTGCTAATTTCAACTTAATCCAGCCATGTGCGTTGGTATTTTAGTGTAGCTCCAATGTTGTTGGGGTTTGTCCGCTTTCCGATGGTGCAGGGATTCTCGAGGATCTTAGCATCCAACTTGATTGTATATTGCACTCCATTCAATTTGAGTTAATAGTGTGCTTGTTAGTCAGTAATTTGCCATTGTAAACCTTGTTATATTCAGTGAATTCCGTGTTCATCTTGTTTTCAGTGTTACAATTAGATACCATATGTGGTGATAGCTAAATATATATACAGAAGTAGCTCGATTGGAAACCAACAAAAGAATTCTAAATATAATGCTTCTAATATGATATGCCAAACAGATCAAATTATAACATACAACATACATATCTAGGATAGTATACGAAGACTCATAGGGCTCAGGGTGAAACTCCGTTTGTAGGTGGGAATTGATGCTTGAAAGAAAGCCTTATTTAGCACCGCCTTTTACACCGTTCTATACAGCGTATGGTAAATTTATCAATACTACAACTATCAAAAATGAAGCTTTTGGCCCTATACAAATGAATCTATCTTCATACAAGAATAGTCAGCCGCATTTGCGGCCTTATGATGTCTTTTTAGATGGTCTTTTTAGGATAATTGTTTGAGATATCAAAAGCTTCATTCTTGGACTTAAAACGCGACCAGAATCAGTGTACTTTGATTATGAAGATAAATGTAATAGTAATTCAGGTATCTTAATTTTTCTGCCGTTCTAAAGTCCGGCACCTTACAAAAGGGGGTTTGAACCCAGAGTCCTGTTAGTCTTCGTACCCTGAAGCCCTGAAGGATCCACCTAAATTTGGAATATGGATCCATGGATGGGGCTTCCAAGGTTGTTTCCATATGCGATTATATAAGCCATGCTGATCACCTTGGGGGCCATGGGCATCCCTAGAGGTGTCCAGGACTTGCACGTACTTCATTTTTTTTTGACAAGTCTACGATCCGCCCAGTACTTCTGACAGTCTTCTTATGTGCTGCATTTCGAACTTCACTATGGGCACAGAAAACCCCTGCTCCCTCTTCGGTATCTACCGATACAATGGATACCCATCCTCATAGTCCTCCTCTTGGTCTCCCAGAGCGCATGCTTCAAAAGATGGGGTTTTATCATCATCCGGTCTTGTATGTCTCCATTTCCAGTCCTTACCACTCCATGTTTTGCGATTCTGATCCTGTCCTCTAAGGATCATGCTCTGTCTTCTCGCATCTCCTTATGTGGGGTTTTATCCTATCTGTTGTCAATATTGTGATGCTGCTTCATGCCGCTATTATCGTTTCAACCTCCTATCCCCACTCATGCTTTTCTTCTTGTTTATCATTTACCGGGCGTCAAACCGAAAAGATAAGACTCCCACGATATCTACAACAGAGACGCAGCAACAAGAGAAGCAAGCAGAAAAAGACTAGTTCCAGCCTAACATCAAAATGAAATGATGTTATGAATCTCATACATATGTAGGTGCAATTTCGCTTTGCCTTATATTGTCTATGTCAGGCTGCGGTTGGATAAACTCGAGATTGAATATCGAAAATGTCGAATTCTATGTTCCAACGGTCCATTTGTGACCTACACTGTGGGTTGGACTTCTCCCTTCCTAAACAAATTTACCCGAGAGGGTCTGATGGAAACATGAATCGACGGTTCGTGACCTCATCCTTCTACAGATCCTCTCATGGATGTCTGCCACTAGTCAAATCAAGGCAAGTTCCTCTCTCTTTTGATGCGCGCAGTGATTTGTCAAAAGAGTCTCTTACAAGTCTAGAGGATGAGTCTTCCTTCAGGTATAATACTTACTAGTACCCATCACATCCCTCTTCATATCCAACCGCATCGCTTTAGAGTCCGACTTCAGGAAGATCCAGTCATTCTACATCGTCCGCCTTATCTCCTAGTCCCGGCCGATGGCATACTCAAGCTTTGAAATTCTTTATGTCTACTACAAGAAACAATACCTTAGGGGGCCAGTGGGGCCCAATTAATTATTATGTCAGGACCCTACAGATACTACCTGGGACCTCACAAGCGACTTAAAGAAGAGTTAATGATTGTGACCGCATACGTCAATTACTACTTTACCCTAAGAATACCGAGTGAAATGTGAGGCGATCACTCAGCAACCCTAATTGCCTAGGCCTACTGAGCAACGAACATCGATGATCCAAGATACATCCTACGCACGTGACATTTGAATAACTAAAAATTTAGTGAAAAATTTGGTAAAAACTAGCGTAAATCGGAGTGTTAAGTTAGCCCAGTTTTAGCTAATTTTACAGTCAATTAGGGTTGTGGTGTAATATTCCAAGGTTGTAGCTTGAAGTCGAGAGATAAGAGATTGGCTTGGGGTCCGGCATCGGCATAGTCTACAGGGAGATCATCACAGAGTGATACACATGATTTTCTGCATCCCAATTGCCTGCTATACACTCTATACACTCTATATGAATGACAATGCAAATAAGAGCAGAGATGATTATTTAAGATTTAATTTATATTGTAGTACTCCGTACTCCGTATATCCCTGGACATTAGATTGAGTGAGTATAAGAAAGATATTTGCCGAAAGATACCCGTCTCCACATCCAGGTTTTGACTCATCGCGTCAAAAAAAAGGAAATTTATAGCAGAAAAAAAAGTAAAAAAAGAGAAGAAGGTAGGAAATACAAAAATCAACCTCTTGTTTCACTTATTAACATTCATTACCAGATCCTCCAGGTCTATACACCTATATCTAGGTATAATCCCCATTTATCCCCCGGCTTTCCTTCGTTGTTCTTCAAAAGTGGAGCCGTATACGGTGAAGGGAACGAACCAATTAGCAACTTCGTGGCGGAAAAAAAAGAATCCCATCAAAGCGTAGACTCATCCTCAACACATCTCTCAGCAATTGAAACATTACCTTCGGTGCGCAATGGTTCTTGCTGCTCGATGTGGGCAGGCCGCCGCCCTGCTGCGCCAGCGCTGCATTGCTGAAACCCGCCCGGCACTCTCTCTTCGCGCATTCTCATCTCAGTCCGTCCGTTCGACGGTCTCGACTCTACGCCTGCAGAAGATCCCTACGGCTCGGTCTCAGCAGCTCCGTTCTTTCTCCAGCACCTTGAACCGCCTGGCTTCTCAGCAGCCCCCGGCCGCCGAGTCTTACCTTGCTAGCGGTGCGGTGTCGACCGGTAGCAACCTCGTCGATGTCAAGAAGGTCCTCGTTATTGGTAGTGGTGGTCTGAGCATTGGACAGGCTGGAGAATTCGATTATTCTGGTAAGTTGGAAGCACTGGGAGATGAAATTTTCGCGTGATTAGATCGCCACGTCAGTCCCCCATGGGGGTTCTAGACAGGATGCTTTTCTGCGGGGAAACCCCTAAAAAAAAAATCAATTCCAGATGACAGCAGTGACTAATCTCTGACTTGTGGGATCAAACAGGCTCTCAAGCTCTTAAGGCTCTCAAGGAAGCCGGCGTTCACTCAATCCTGATCAACCCCAACATTGCCACTATCCAGACCGACCACAAGCTTGCGGACGAAGTCTACTACCTCCCAGTCACCCCCGAATATGTTACTCATGTCATTGAGCGCGAGCGCCCCGATGGAATTCTCCTCACCTTCGGTGGTCAGACCGCCCTGAACTTGGGTGTGCAGATGAACCGCATGGGCACCTTTGAACGCTACGGTGTCAAGGTTCTCGGTACCCCCATCAAGACCCTCGAGACCAGTGAGGACCGTGACCTCTTCGCCCAGGCCTTGAACGAGATTGATATTCCTATCGCCGAATCGACTGCCGTCGAGACTGTCGAGGACGCTCTCAAGGCTGCTGAGGAGGTCGGCTACCCCATCATCGTCCGGTCTGCTTACGCCCTCGGTGGTCTGGGTTCTGGCTTCGCTAATAACGCCGAAGAGCTCCGTGACTTGTCCTCGCGCTCTCTGTCTCTCTCCCCCCAGATCCTGGTCGAGAAGTCCCTCAAGGGCTGGAAGGAGGTCGAGTACGAGGTTGTCCGTGATGCTGCCAACAACTGTATTACCGTTTGCAACATGGAGAACTTCGATCCCCTCGGAATTCACACCGGTGACAGTATTGTCGTTGCCCCTAGTCAGACTCTGTCTGACGAGGAGTACCACATGCTCCGCACTGCTGCTATCAAGATTGTCCGTCACTTGGGCGTCGTTGGCGAGTGCAATGTCCAGTACGCTCTGCAGCCCGATGGACTCGACTACCGTGTCATTGAGGTCAATGCTCGTCTTTCGCGTTCATCCGCTCTGGCTTCCAAGGCCACTGGTTACCCTCTCGCTTACACCGCGGCTAAGATTGGTCTGGGACACACTCTTCCCGAGCTCCCTAACGCCGTTACAAAGACCACCACTGCCAACTTCGAGCCCAGTCTGGACTACGTTGTCACCAAGATTCCCCGCTGGGATTTGAGCAAGTTCCAGCACGTCAACCGCGACATTGGCTCCGCCATGAAGTCGGTTGGTGAGGTTATGGCTATTGGTCGTACCTGGGAGGAGTCCCTGCAGAAGGCCATCCGTCAGGTTGACCCTCAATACCTTGGTCTCCAGGGTGATAAGTTCGATGACCTCGACGAGACTCTCCGCAACCCCACCGATCGCCGCTGGTTGGCCGTTGGTCAGGCTATGCTCCACGAGAACTACTCTGTTGAGAAGGTCCACGAGCTGACCAAGATCGACAAGTGGTTCTTGTACAAGATCCAGAACATTGTGGATTGCAACAACGAGCTCAAGGAGATCGGCAGCCTCTTCGGCCTCAAGCAGGAGATCCTGATGAAGGCTAAGAAGCTCGGTTTCTCTGATAAGCAGATCTCTCTCCTTGTTGGATCCACCGAGGATGATGTCCGTGCCCGCCGTAAGTCCTTCGGCATCACCCCTTGGGTCAAGAAGATCGATACCCTTGCTGCCGAGTTCCCTGCCGACACCAACTACCTCTACACCACCTACAACGCCTCGTCCCACGATGTTACCTTCGATGACCACGGAACTATCATTCTGGGCAGCGGTGTCTACCGTATTGGTAGCTCCGTCGAGTTCGATTGGTGCGCTGTTAACGCCACTCTCTCCCTCCGCGAGATGGGCAAGAAGACCGTTATGATCAACTACAACCCCGAGACCTACTCCACTGACTTCGATACCGCTGACAAGCTGTACTTCGAGGAGCTCAGCTACGAGCGTGTCATGGATATCTACGAGCTCGAGTCCGCTAGCGGTGTCGTTGTCTCTGTCGGTGGTCAGCTGCCTCAGAACATTGCCCTCCGTCTCCAGGAGAGCGGTGGTGCTACCATTCTGGGTACCAACCCTCTGGACATTGACAAGGCTGAGGACCGTCACAAGTTCTCTTCTATCCTCGATAGCATTGGTGTCGACCAGCCCGCCTGGAAGGAGCTGACCTCCGTCGCTGATGCTGAGACCTTCGCCGACACTGTTGGTTACCCCGTCCTCGTCCGTCCCAGTTACGTCCTGTCCGGTGCCGCCATGAACGTCATCTACAGTGTTGATGAGCTCAAGGAGAAGCTCCTGAACGCTGCTGCCGTCTCCCCTGACCACCCCGTCGTCATCACCAAGTTCATTGAGGGTGCCGAGGAGATCGATGTGGATGCCGTCGCTTCCAACGGTAAGCTGATTATCCACGCCGTTTCCGAGCACGTTGAGCCCGCTGGTGTTCACTCTGGTGATGCCACCCTCGTCCTGCCCCCCGCCAACATCGAGGAGCCCATCATGGCCCGTGTCAAGGAGATCGCCGAGAAGGTCGCCAAGGCCTGGAACATTACCGGTCCCTTCAACATGCAGATCATCAAGGCTGATCAGGAGGATGCCGAGCCCGCGCTCAAGGTTATTGAGTGCAACCTGCGCGCCTCCCGCTCTTTCCCCTTCGTCAGCAAGGTCCTGGGTACCAACTTCATCGACGTCGCCACCAAGGCTCTCGTCGGCCGTGATGTCCCCGAGCCCGTCGATCTCATGAAGGTGAAGCGTGACTACGTCGCCACCAAGGTTCCCCAGTTCTCCTGGACCCGTCTGGCTGGTGCCGACCCCTTCCTGGGTGTTGAGATGTCCTCCACCGGTGAGATTGCTTGCTTCGGTAAGGATCTGGTCGAGGCCTACTGGGCTTCCCTCCAGTCCACCATGAACTTCCGCATGCCCGAGGCCGGTGAGGGTATCTTGCTCGGTGGTGACATCACCCAGCCCTACCTGGCTAAGATCGTCGAGTACCTGAACCCTCTTGGCTACAAGTTCTTCGCCGTCAACACCACGGTTAAGGATCACCTCGAGTCCACCGCCGGTGTCTCCGTGCAGCTAATTGAGTTCCCCAAGAAGGACAAGCGTGCTCTCCGTGAGGTGTTCCAGAAGTACGACATCCGTGGATGCTTCAACCTTGCCAAGACCCGTGGCAAGACCCAGCTTGATGAGGACTATGTCATGCGTCGCAACGCCGTTGATTTCAGCGTGCCTCTCTTCATGGAGCCTAAGGTATGGTTGAATTACCTAATCCCCAGAATGATTCAAGTTACTAACTGATCTTCTCTATAGACTGCCCAGCTCTTTGCTCAGTGCATGAGCGAGAAGCTGCCCCGCGTTGAGGGTATCCCCTCTGAGGTCCGCACCTGGTCCAACTTCGTCGGCGGCAAGGCCCTGTAAATCTCTATTTTTTTGCACAAAGTGACAGAAGAAGAGAAAAAAAAAAGCCCCACCATGTCGAGGTAAAGAGAGACAGGATGTCAACATCTCTTTCCGCTCGATATCCCCTATGACCTCCCCGGGTCCTCCCGTCATGATTTTCCAACATAGGAACAGGATCTAAACTTTCTGTATGGTGTAGTGGGTAGGGCGATCTTGTTGATAGATGGCCTGCATTGTCGTTTCGGCCTTTTTAATTATTGTACTCTCGGATCGGAATGTTGTTTTTCCTTATGAATTGTCGAACTGTTCTTCATCTCTACTCTCTACTCTCTACCCTACGGCGAATCAAGGTCGGATATAGTTGTGTAGAACTTATATTCCCCTGATATTAAACGAATTTGACCGTGCTTTGAAATTCTTTCTCCTCTGTACACCGTACTTGTGCATATATTCAGGGTCGTACCAAATATTATTCATTTCCAGGGGCTCAGCCACAATATCTGTTGATAGGGCTATGGGGGGCTTGAGCCTCTTGTGGGCGCCAATTATATTGTAGAAGATCATCTATGTCTCACTCAAAAGGGTCTCCGTCCAGCAATCTCTGCCGGCCCTTGCGACCAATCATCGTAATGTCTGGCTTATATTGTCCTTTAACCTTTGTTGTTGGTACCTTTAACCTCTTTATCTTCAACTTGGATAGCCTAGGTCTTGCCTGGTGCTTACAGGGTCTACACCGACTTATCTCGGGCTTATTTTTTTTTTCCATCACGGCTCTTGACCGAATCACCTGTTAGCGCCAAGCTCTAGTTTTTAGTACATCACATAGTATAGCGCTAGTATACGAAGGATGCTTGGCTTCCGGACCTCCGTGACTCTTCTCGGGGGGGCCCATTGGGCACGCTAGTCAAGAGGCAATATAAGTCCTTATTTTTCCCTGGTTCCTAACTTTCTTTCTTCTGCCCAACCCCATTTCTCTCTCTTTCTCCAACCTTGAACCCCCCATCTCCAAATCTTGCAAACATGCGCTCATCTTGGTTCCTCCTCTCTGCCCTAGCAGCTCTAGGCGCAGCCGACGAGCCCAGCAAAACAACCATCAGCTATTTTGGAGTCGACAATGACTCCGGCGCCAACCTTGGCGCCTACTCCAGCACCGCAGCCCGAGTTGTTGGCATCAACAAGTATGCCACAACCTACGAGATCGCCTGCATCAGCGGCGCAGCCAAATGCGCATTGCACCATCCCGCAACCCTAATCCAGGGCGATGCCACTTACAGCGTCTCTCTCGAAGCAACTGTGGTTACCAGCGGTGCTACGGCCCACGCAACCGCCGTTGAGTCATGCACTTTCACCCATAAGTCTGAATCTGCTGTCTGCTCTTGGAGTCTTGCATACACCGGCATGCAGGGTGATGTCACTATTTCCGATTCTGCCTCTAGCACGCAGTCGATCCCGGCGTCTTTGGTTACCTACAAGCCTCTTACTATCACCGATGGCGTCTATGCTTTGACGGCTGATGCCACGGGTTCGACTTCGGCGGTCAAGATCACTCCTACTGCTTCTACTGGTGGTGTTGCGGCTGCTGCGAAGCCCTTGATTACTGCTGCGCCGTTGGGTGCGGCTGCTGCTCTTGCTTTTGCGGCTATGATCTAGGGCTTGAGTTTGGGTCTTTTCATGTCTGATGTCTACTTGGGACTTAAGTCTCTGGGTCCATGCATTTTGAATGAGCTATGCTATATGTACATCTAATACTTCATCCAAATGATATATGAAATCTAATTTCTTTTGGCTACAACTCTTTGGATCTTGACCCAGTATGGCTTTCTCTTAGTAAGATTTGTAGGTCCTCAGCATCTATACAGTAATTATTTGCCTGCATCCATACCTATGTCACCATTTTACAAAAATATAGAGCCAATTTCGGCTTCTGTTGGAGTTTGCATCAATATTCTCTTTCTCTCTCTGCGCTCATCTCTGGGCTTGGCTTGTATGATGTAGGATTGCTGGTCACAAAGGTGATAATAATGAAATGCTTGACAAGGAACTCTGAATTGGTATGTATTCAAACCATGAAAGAAATTTCAGGATCTTCTCATCCGACTAGTCTTTGTGGGGGTATGTGGGAGAATCTATCAATCTTCTTCGATAAATGCCAAGAGATTCAAATACAATGACAAATATTCACCGCCCTACCCACGTGGACGACTATCCACTCTACTCGTTATATCTTCAAACAATCCTTATTTCTATGTTCAGATAACCCACAATGGCATCAAGAACTGCACTACCTTCGGTGACGACCAGGACGGTCCCACAGCCTGCCCCCAATGGCATGGGCAACGGCCTGTTTGCAACAGCCGACATCAACCCCGGTGAAGATGTTTTGCACATCAAAACACCATTTGTGGCGGTTCTTGATTCCCCACGTTTAGAAGACACATGTGCTGGCTGCTTCGGAAAGAGACAGATGGAAACTGGAAATGAGTTGAAGGCTTGCACGGGATGTCGTGTCGTGAAGTATTGTGATCGTGTGAGTTGCTATGGAGATAGATCGTTTGCTGTCTCATATTTCTCGTCCTACCCAAGATTGTGTCTGGTTTGGTATTCTTCTAATACTTGATTAATAGGTATGTCAATCTAAGGACTGGAAGTTTGCGCATTCTCTTGAATGTCCAATCTTTAAAAATGTCAAGCCTATGGTGCTTCCCAACAATGCCCGTGCTCTCCTTCGCATAGTGCTGCGTACTGCGCGTAACAAGTACGATTCTGAAGAGTTCAAGGTCTTTGGTGGTTTGGAGACTCACATCAATGAGATCTCGGAGAGCCAGGGCCAGCTTGATAGGATTAATCTGACGGCAAAGGCTGTCAAGAATTACTCTGGGACGGACGTGGATGAAGGAACTGTCGCTTCTTATGCTGCCAAGGTGATTATTTCCAGCCTCATCTCGTGGACTTTTCATCTAACTATCATTCATAGCTGGATCTCAACTCCTTCAATCTTACCACCTCTATGTATGACCGCATTGGCCTATACATGCATCCATATGCCGGGTTGATTAACCACAGCTGCGACTACAACTCCACCGTTGGATTTGACGGTGAAGAGCTGTACGTCAAGGCTATGCGTCCCATCAAAAAGGGCGAGCAAATATTCATATCCTACATTGACACCACAACACCCTATGATATTCGCCGCAACGAACTGAAAGAGCGCTACTTCTTCGACTGCCAGTGCACAAAGTGCCAGAGGGGAGCGGATACCATTGAAGATCGGTTCTTGTCTACACCCGAAGACATGACGCCCTTAGAGACAGCAGAGCGTGAAGCCCTAGAGCTCATGCAAAAAGCAACCGCAACCAGCACGGAGACAAAAGAGACAATCGAAAAGTTGGAAGCTGCTATGCACAAGCTCCATGAAACCGCCCTATGGCCCCTCACCCGTCAGCCATATGCTTCTCTCCGCGACAAACTAATCATATCTCTTCTAACGGCTGGTAACTTTACCCGGGCATTCATCCACGCTGCCATTCGATACCTACGAATTGATCCTGCTGTCTATGACAAGGCCCATCCCATCCGACACATCCATGCATGGAGCCTGGTCAGACTTACAGTTTTCATTTCCCAAGAGGGCTTCCAGCCTGACCCCAAAGACCCTGTCCAGATTAAGGACTTCAACTTGAACTTTCACTACTTGATTTGGTACATTCTTGCTGAACTTACTAGCACTCAGGCGGAGAGTTGCACTGTGTCCAGCTTTAGGAAACTTGTTGGAAATCAGTTTGTACAGGTTCACAATGAGTTCAAGGCCAATGGCCTTGACCCTAGTAAGACTAAGGCTGTTCTCTCCGCTGAGTGGAACAAGCTTGAACGTCTTGTCAATAAGGCTCTAGAAAAAGAGTGAATTACCAATGGCGGATTGTTTCTTAAAAACAAAATTTGATCAGACTCCAACATGGCTCCAGGGCTAGCCTTACTGGATTCTTATATAACAAAACAGTAGTGCCCACGTGCTCAATACTCAATACTCTCTCACCTTCTGCCCGAAAAAGCAGGAACGACCGGGGTCGATGCCGGTTGTATACATAGCCGCCACTTTCGCTTTGAAGCCGATCGACCCTTCCTCTTCGGGGTCGCTGGGGACTATATAAACAACCCCCAGCCCATTCCTCTTCTCCTCTTCTCTTTCTCTCTTCTCTCCACACATTCGCCTTCGTTTTTATTGCCTACAAGGGCAATTCGATGCCGCAAACAACTGCCAAAATGGCTACTTTTTCGGACCGCTGGTCCATGGAGAATGGACCTCCAAGCCCCGAGACTATCAATGAGGTTCGTGCTACCCCCGAGACCAGTAGAACCTCCCGCTACGGGGCCAGCCGTCGGGCTGCGACCCCCCGGATTGCCGACCATAGGACTCCGGTGATTCCTCCCGGTTACCAGCAGATCCCAGGGTACGAAGCCCACCGTCAGCGGCAGGAGGCTCGCGTACTCATGGGATCGATTGCGGAGCGCCGGGGTAAGCCTACCCCCGCCCCAATCCTGATCTGTGGTGATGCTCCGAGTCTTCTGTCGCGCGGACGACGTTGGTAAGTCAGTTCCATTTCATTTTTACTTCTTCTAGCCTTTCTTGGCTTGACTTCAGTTGAGCTTCGGTTCATTCTCACTTCATTCTCACTTTTTTCTTACTTTGCATGTTCTATCTGAGATGAAATTTGTTTGAATTTATTTGGATTGGACTTAGCTAATATTTTGGATTCTCATAGGGTCCCTGGGTGCCGCTTGTGCTGGTGCCTTTGCCGGAGCCGGAGCTCAGCAGCTAGCCAATGAGCAAACTTGGACTATGTCTGGGGGAGCTTTATGCTGGTGCTTTAGGTGAAGATGGTAAGGGAGGTTTCTGTAGTGTGGAGGTCGGTTCTCGAGGGGTTGGCTGCCCATTGGTGAGAAACATCTCTCTTGATTTGGTCTTCGGTTCTGGAGGCTAACAATACCACAGTTATATAGAGAAGTTGCTGCAAGTGAGCTCGTCAAGGGTTAAGTCCATCTCCTTCACATTTTACTCAATTCCAGATGCTAATTCATCGATGTACAGTTGGAGTTAGTTGCGTATTATCTCCAAGAATTGAATTATCCCTACGAACTGTACGCGGAATGGTAAGCCTGAACCCTCCCAGCTATTTTTTGTCAAGCTCTGATTGTGAAAGACCGAGGTCACCTTGCTGCTTTTTGCATCTTCGCTCATCGTATTTCGCACGTCTCTTTCGCCTCGCCATCTTACGATATCATGTTCCGATATTGCCGGCCTTCACACGAGCTAGTGCCAATGTACTACCTCCCCATCTACGCATTCAGTCTCTCTACACCACCCTCCTCGCAGATCACCTGTGGACCGCCGTGGATTTTGATGTACTCGCAGAGTGCAGCTCAGACAACTTCGACGCATATGCGAACCGACTAAAGTCCTTCGGCAACCCATCAACCTACCCACACTTGTAGAGAACCCCAAATAAAATCTAGCCTCATCGACTGCTGTCCTCCAAACTCAACGAACACTAGGATCTTTGCGTCAGCTACGACATCGACTGATCCGTCAACCACCTCGCCCAGTGTCCTTTCTCAAGAAGCACAAGCTTGACTTCAACCACGGAAACACTAAAGCCAAGCAATACGAGAACAACTCCAAGCTAGTAGCAATCAAGCTAGCAACAGCAGCCACGATCCTAATAACAATCGACCTAGTACTGCAAATCTAGCTTGAAGCCGTCTGAACAAGGTCACAATGCAATTCAGGATCTAGGCCACGACACACTGGTACTATCTAGAAATTCGATGATACATGAAACAAAGTCATTCAGTACTCCTTATCATCCATAAGCTTGGCACAACACAGTCTTCGGTGTTTGAATGGGATGAAGCCAGCATGCTCAACCGCATGCTCGCCGGATAACGTTCGTTTGGCCGACCCCCTCGTCTTTTTGATTGTTTGCCACAATGCGACTGGCTGTCCAAACGACTCCCAATTAAAGATGGAAGATGAGCCACTTTTTTTCCCTTTGTGCCAACGCTAGCAGTATAGCTCTCGACCATTTCAAGTCCACCAATCTTCACAGCCTGACCGATGAATACTCGATGAGCAAGCATATCTTCATGGGAACATAGGTCTCCTGTCTTTACACGCATTTTGCTGAATACAAATACTATCGCATTCCCATATACCGTGCTTGTCCCTGGTTATTCATAGAAAAGTCTCTTGCGCAAAGCCTGCTTTTTTTACCACCTCCACATACATCTAGAAAAACATCTAAAAAGACCGGCTAGAAGGACGTACCAAAAATACATCACAAGGCCGCAAACGCGGCCGACTATTCTCGCAATTCTTAAATCTAGAAGTCAAGGCTTGTCCGTTCAATTTCCATCAAACTTGGAAACTGTCAAACCCTGATTTCTTTAGCTAATGGACCAACATGAAATTCCACTGCTTCTGTACGTTTATATTATCTCCAAAAAGATAGATGCCTCTGAATATTTCGAAAACGGACTAATCGACTAGGCAAAGCTTTGTAGATGCCGCAAGCGAGCCAAGATTGCCCAGATGTCTATCATCCCATGAGACAGAACTCAAATGTATAGATCGTATCATGTCCATTTACCAATATTGATAAATACAAGAATAGAATGCAAATAATCAATCAAGCATACAAGGATGTTCATATATACAGTGTACAAAACTCAAGTCATAAAATATATCACATCAGACTTGTTCGACCCCCAATCTCATTGGCAGCCTCGCCGTTAGGCATCTCACCATTTCGGCCGGCGACAAACTCCCGATAAATTCCCTGGAGACGTCTACGCTCCGCGGGGGGAAGAGAACCACGCGTGGTAGCCAGTGAGCGCTCAACATGTTCCCAGCGGACGATGATATCCTCACGCAGCTCGTCTGCATCAGGCTCACTGCCGTTAGCCACCGGGGCCGCGGCATTCGCACCGGAAGGTCCCTGCTCGAGCTGGCGTTGGCGACGACGCGAGTTCTTGATTGCCTCTAGTTTGGCCGATATCACTGCCGGTGCTGGCATGGAGACAGACCCGGATGCTTCCTCCGAGGAAGAGTAGAGGAACTGGATAAAGGATTTGCTGGAGGCACTAGCGGAGTTGGACTTCGCACTGGGCTTGGCTGTATCGGTGGAACGATCACCGAGTGCATCGTGGACGGCCTCTAGATGGGCGTTGTATACGACAGCCTGCAGATCTGCACCGGAGAATCCTTCGGTCTCGGCCGCAATATCGCCTAGGCGAGATGTGACCTCATCGCTCATCTTGAGCTTTTCACTCACGGAGCGGATAATATCAACACGGTCTGCGTGGTTGGGCATGCCACAAAGCAGGGACTTGTCGAGACGGCCAGGTCGAAGAAGGGCAGGATCGATCAAGTCAGGCCGTGACGTTGCTGCCAGGACATAGACGCCCGAGAGACCTTCTGCACCGTCCATTTGTGTCAACAGCTGGTTGACAACACGGTCTGTGACACCTGTGGAATCGTGACCACGCTTGGGTGCAATACTGTCGAACTCATCGAAGAAGAGGACGCAAGGGCGAGCGGCTTGAGCTCTTTCGAACAAGTCGCGAACACTCTTTTCACTGGCTCCGATATATTTGTTCAAAATTTCAGGGCCCTTGACACTGATGAAGTTCAATCCACACTCGCCAGCCACTGCACTCGCCAACATTGTCTTGCCGCATCCAGGGAATCCATAAAGAAGCAAACCAGACCGAAGTCGCAATGGGCACTGTGCGAAGATCGGGGCATACTTTGTGGGATACTGCAAAGTTTCCAATAGGATCTTGCGAGTTTCGAACAAACCACCAACAGATGAAAATGTGGTTGTTGAGGAGGTAAGGGTAACGTTGCGAAGAGATGCTGGAGTAAAGTCCTTCAAGGCACTTTCAAAGTCTTCTAACCCGAGAGTGATCATCTTTGATGTTGCTGTCAGATCCGAGACAGAGCGAATGAGGGCCTCATTGCGCGCGCGAGCAACAAGTAGCACAAGGTCACCAGGCATATACCCATCGGTTTTGCCGGCCAGCTCTAGATACTCGACATCCCTTCCAATAACAAACCCATCACCCCCAGATGAGCTTGGTCGGCTCCCTGGATTTGAAGGGTCCAACCATGAGTCTTGTGTTGAGGAGCTTATGGCCCTCACATGCCCGTTTGAGCTCTCTGTAGGTTTATCTTCACTAGTAAGTTTTTCCAAAACTCTTCGGCGTCCTTCCTTGTCGGGGGCTCTCATATTGATTATCTCACGGACGACGTGGCCGCCGATGATAACATTATTGAGGGACTCTTTGGCCTGGGCAGTGGCCAGTAGCACAACAGACGAATTCAGCGCGCAGTATTCTCGAACCATAGAGCAGATAACCTCGCTGTTCTGGCGACTGCGGCCATTGTCTCCACCCACCTGCAGTTCAGTCTCCGCGGGGCAAAGCTTGTCTAGATCTTCAAGGATCACGACTGACTGACCGCCAAGACGCGCACACCATGATGCGGACATGAAGAGGCGGTTCAGGGTCTCTTTGATATTGGAAATACGTGTTTCGTCTGTGACGAGCTTGCGGCAGGAGAAATATTTGACGTTGAAGAGATGATCTCGTCTTAGGCGATGAGCCAGTAGATGGGTCAGAGCTGTTTTACCAGCACCAAGACCACCGGTGAGCAAGATAGACGAGGATTTTGTTAGGTTGTTTAATGCCTGTTCAATGATAGAGTCAATCCCTACTAATTGAGGAGCAGTTTCTGGGAGAGGGTCCTCCATAGGTAGCGTCGATGAACTAGTATCAAATGGCTTGGGAATTTCAGCTTGGACTTCAAGATTCAGCTTCGCTTCTGAGCCCAGCAACCACCCGAACATTGACTTTGTTTCATCCGCAGCCCCCTTCAAAGGAGGGTCAAAACGAAGAATAGCACCATCGAACGAAGAGACTGAAGCATGATACTCGGATTTGGGTATAATCATTCCATCAGTCAAAGGCCCCGAGAACAGTCCAGTGTCGGACCCAGTGCTGCCGTAGATGACTTTGAGGCGCTCAGCTAGGGCATCCCGAGATGCCGTAGTGTCAGCACCGAACTTCAGCCCGTCCTTCTTTTTCGAAGCATCGCCTATGAAAGGATAGACTTTGAGGGTCTTGACTGCCGAGCGATGCAGCTGTGGGGGTGCTGCTTCGACTCGGAGGATTCCACCAACCATGTTCTCCGCACCAAGCGCCGTGCACAACAAGGTGGAAATAGCCACATGCCGATTGTCCGGAGCCTCCTCCCACGGAAACAGTTTAGCCACGATTTTTGTTGTAGGGGCACCGGAATCATTGGACTTTTGCTGTTCAGCTTGAGCAAGTTGTTGTTGGGGATCTGGTGGGGGTTTGAGACCGGATGGCTGGACAACCGACACACATGCCCAGGTCGCTCCGCGCAACTCATGGCTTGCCAGCATGTCCGGATCAACCCAAATACGGAGGCCCTCATTTGCATCATCTTCTACTTCCCCATCAAAATATTGAGTGGTCGCTGAGCGGTCCACGCCTCTCAAGTAAAGGGAGCCTCGTGTGGAGTCGGACCGACTACTCTTCTGGCGTACAGTGCTTGAAGCACTCCTGCCCCCAGCACTCTTCCTGCTACTACCAGCAGCACTGCGGCTATCCGCCCGAGAGCTTTTGCTTGTCTTAGATCGAACTTTGGGGGCCACTATGACTTCTGCATCCGGCGCGATCTTGGCGAAGGGGGAGGTGTCTGAGGGAGCAGGTGTAAGAGAAGTGACGACAATATTGGCAGTAGATGTGGGAGACAGATGCAATGCGAGTGGGTGCATATGCACTGATTGCCCTGCATTGTATGTAGGATTTGGTAGAGCGCGAATTTGTGACAAAAGGTTAAGTTCCAGGAATGTGGCGTGGAGTTCAATGACTAGTGATATCGGGTTAGTGCCAGTGCAATTATAGCTGTCTATGATTGAAACGTACTCTCCCAGTCTTCTGGTGTCAATGGCTCAATGTTTATCGTATGTGCAACGGGTGGATCAAGGTGGATGAACAATCCGACCTGCAAGTGTTAGCGCCCCACGTGGGTAATGATGCACGGGGAGTATTGTACCTTCTGGCCGTCTGTGAGACCAAGGAGCCGTCCAAAAGTAGTATCAAGCTCAACGGTGGATATTTCCTGTTCCCTGGAATATCCACTGTTGATACCGTCTCTCCCAACGACAGGCGCAAGCCTGCGCTTGCTCGGCATGCCCGTCCAGCCGAGGAAGCATGATTGCTGCGGAGGAGCTCCATTGGCCTTTCCAGAGGTCGATTTATATTGTAGTTCGATAATAACATTCTGAGCAGTCTGATAAACCTAGGAGTTAGCCGGGAATGGCTCACGGAAGCATAATAACTAGTAGACTAACCGTGTTTGCATTGACCAGCAGAGCGACCAGCGACGGCGGTAGATTAACAAGACAGTTTTTGAGGGGAGTGAGGGCAACTTCAGCCGTCGCAGCAGGCTTCTTAGGCGCCATTTTGAAGCGCTGAACGATCGTGAGTACTGGAAAGACAAGTAGGAGGGGAACCGTGAACTCGGAGAGACACGACCCCGGACTCCACACTACATCTCTCTTTCGCCTCGGCCCGATGACGAGTCATGTGACGCTTAGCTTCAATAGCGGATAAACGGATAAACTTATAATCCACGATCATTGATACCTTTCCTAATCGGGTTAGTCTCATTTTTGAGCGCGTCCCGACCTCGCGTTCGCGTTTTACCTGCGAATTTGGTAGGGGCTCGGATAGTCACTAGACGGACCCTCTTCTCTATTTCTCTCTCGATCCCACTATCGATTCTTTGCGCTTTCAATTAAGCGCAATTCGTTATTATGTCTCTCCTTCAATATCCCCCACCTGTGGATTATTCCGCGCAACTGGATGGCTTCAAGGATTTCTTGAAGGGGTTCAAGACTTTCCAATCGTCCTCGGAAGCCGCTGCGACCGAGGCATTGGAGGATCTTAACATCGACGACGGCCAGACTAGTGATGAATATGATTTCATGGATGATGCCGATGAGACCAACGGGGCAAACACCCGAGGAGCAAGGAGGCACCGGGAGCCGAAGCTCAAGTACATGCAAATTCTGCAGGATATCGCAAACCGGGATATATCTAATATTTTGATTGAGTTGGATGACCTGTCAATTGTAAGTATTCAATACAGCCCCTCTGACTAAATTCTAGCTCACAATGGTGGTAATAGTACGAGAAATCCCGGCCCGAGGGAGAAGACCTGAAGCTTGTCGCATCTATCGAAAAGAACACAAAACGCTATATCGATGTTATCTCTCAAGCGGTGGATGAAGTTATGCCTAGGGAGACAAAGGATGTCACGTATGTTAATCTGTCTCTATGCGAACACACTGGCGGCCAAACTAATTAATGTGCAGATTCAAAGATGATGTGCTTGATGTGATCATGTCTCAGCGTGAGAAGCGAAATGAGACTATGGAAACCGCAATGGAGGCCGACATGGAAGCTGCTGCGACTGCCCCATCGATGTTCCCTCCTGAGCTCACCCGCAGATACACCCTCAACTTCAAGCCCCTCACACCCTCAGGCTCTAGTGCCGAGCGCGATTCCAAAGCCCTCGCCGTCCGTTACGTGCGCGGTGAGCACCTGGGTAGCTTGATCACAGTCCGCGGTATCACCACCCGTGTCTCAGATGTCAAGCCGGCTGTACAGATCAACGCCTACACTTGCGATCGCTGTGGCTGCGAAGTGTTCCAGCCCATCACCACCAAGCAATTCCTTCCCCTGACTGAGTGTCTGTCAGAGGAATGCAAAAAGAACAACTCGAAGGGTCAGCTCTTCCTGTCAACTCGTGCATCGAAGTTTGTCCCCTTCCAGGAGGTGAAGATCCAGGAAATGGCCGACCAAGTCCCCGTGGGCCACATTCCTCGCACTTTGACTATTCACTGCCACGGCGCTCTGACTCGCCAATTGAACCCCGGTGATGTTATTGACGTTGCAGGAATCTTTTTGCCCACTCCCTACACTGGTTTCCGGGCTATTCGCGCTGGCCTGCTGACTGACACATACTTGGAGGCTCAGCACATCACCCAGCACAAGAAGTCATACAATGAGATGGGTATGGATAGCCGTACTCTTCGCAAGATCGAGCAGCACCAGCGCTCCGGTAACATGTACGAATACCTTTCACGGTCGATTGCACCCGAAATCTACGGACACCTTGATGTCAAGAAGGCGTTGCTATTGCTCCTGATTGGTGGTGTCACGAAAGAGATGGGTGACGGCATGCACATCCGTGGAGACATCAACATCTGCTTGATGGGTGACCCTGGTGTGGCCAAGTCACAGCTTCTTCGATACATTACCAAGGTTGCTCCTCGTGGCGTGTACACCACTGGACGAGGAAGCAGTGGTGTCGGTCTCACCGCCGCAGTCATGAGAGATCCCGTCACAGACGAGATGGTGCTGGAGGGAGGTGCCCTTGTTCTTGCGGACAACGGTATCTGCTGTATTGATGAGTTCGACAAGATGGAGGACTCGGACCGGACAGCTATTCACGAGGTGATGGAACAGCAGACTATCTCCATCTCCAAGGCCGGTATCACAACTACCCTCAACGCCCGTACTTCCATTCTAGCAGCGGCCAATCCGCTATATGGTCGTTACAACCCTCGGGTATCACCCGTGGAGAACATTAACCTGCCCGCCGCCTTGCTCTCTCGTTTCGATGTCATGTTCCTGCTTCTGGATACCCCGTCCCGTGAAGGTGACGAAGAGCTGGCCCACCACGTCACTTACGTCCACATGCACAACAAGCACCCCGAGAGTGAAGAAGCCGGTGTCTTGTTCACTCCCCACGAGGTCCGTCAGTACGTTGCCAAGGCACGCACATTCCGTCCTATTGTGCCTACCAATGTCTCTGACTATATGGTTGGTGCTTATGTGGCCATGCGCAAGAGACAAAAGATCGATGAGTCCAAGAAGAGGCAGTTCTCTCACGTCAGTCCCCGTACGCTGCTCGGTATCGTTCGTCTTTCGCAGGCGCTTGCTCGTCTTCGCTTCAGTGAGGAGGTTGTTCGCGAGGATGTTGATGAGGCTTTGCGTCTCATTGAGATCAGTAAGGCTTCTCTGTACAACGATGGCGAGCAGGGTGCCGACAACACCCCATCCAGCAAGATCTACAACTTGATCCGCAGCATGAAGGAGAGCGGTGCCGCTGCCGTTGGAGATGGCGAGGAAGGCGAGATGAGCATGAGACGTATTCGTGAGCGTGTGTTGGCCAGAGGTTTCACCGAGGATAACCTCACCATGACCATCGATGAATATGCCGAGATGAACGTAAGTTTTGATTACTCCAGAAGCTTGATGTGCTTTTTTACTAACATTCTATATAGCTCTGGCAAGTCACTGGCAACGGCACACGTCTGCTCTTCACTGAAGTTGACGGCGATATGGACATGTAATTGTGAAAATTTCTCATACTGTTTTTCTCTTCTTAAATGTCGATCGGGCTTTTTATGCGTGTTGAAGATGCATGTGAAACTGGCTGGAATCAAGGCGACGGGTGTTTAGGTGTATTCTTGGAGAAATGGAGTTGGTTCTTATGATTTTGTAGGATTAATTAAGAAGATCTTCCCAATCTACTTGTTTAATCTACATTTATATCCTAATTTTCCACTAAAGCAATTTCATTTTATTCGTCACACACATACACATGCAATCTGCCAGAATATCTCATGCTATGGATCTAACTCGGTCCTTTGGGCCCCTTGTTGTTAACCCCCCATATCCCCTCTTCCCCCTGCTACCAGCAAACCCACATCTACCGTAGGTCATTATTCTAAGCCTCGCACTGGTTTTGAAGCCTGACCTCGTTGCAAAGGTCGGAAGGAGCAGCATACACATCATCGCATGGCATGTTGCAAGCTGTGTCCTCAGGGACGAAAACAAGGAACTCATAGTTCGGCATCGGCAGGCGAAACTGATGGTACAAGTCGTTGTTGTACTGAGACGCCTTGTAGCCAGCACGACAGGCGCAATGGAAGGATTTTCCCGTGTTGATACACGAGGTGGAGGGGTCACACCAGTTCTCGCCCGAGATAGGATTGCAGGTGCCGCACTGGGCCAATGATGTTGTGTCAGCGGCCACTAGGGAGGCTGTGGTGATGATCAAGGCGACAATGGAGAAATGCATCCTGGTGGATGGTTAGATTCAAATATAGGCTTGGAGTAGATCTAGTGTCTTGTGCCTGGGGATTGGTTTCTGATGGCGTTATGTTCTGCTGGGAGGCTCGCCATCTTATATACTCATATCCAAGGGTATATATATTTATCTGGATCATTAGGCTCGGTAGACCTTTGTTCTCAAGATGTTATTCACCCTGTTCCCTGCGAAGCCCATCAGCGCTATGTTGCATCACGAGGTCATTACCAGCCTGGGGTTCCCAGTATACTTTGTAGGCCGGTCCCCGAAGAAGACGATATCCATATACGGTACCACGGTTGAATTATTACAATGTCACCGGTTGACTTTTACAATCTTGTATAGCGTCCTCGTCTGATATCATAGGAGTGTGAATACGAGGTCTGGAACAATACCGCAAAACATCACCAATGCTTATCGACTAAGGTGATGTCAATGCCTTCTTAGCTCAACATTGCCTTTGGGCAGCGCTTCTAAGACTGTTCAGGGTTTGGAATTTCGATTCAGCGGGGGTGTATGTCTCAGGCCCATCACTCTAGCCACATTCAGATCTCGACGTCAACAGTTGTGTAGAAATGCGGAGATTTTGACATGCCAAGGTAAATGTCTCACACTTCGTGAAGCTTTAGTTACGAGCTAGATTTTCTGTGATCTGGTCAGGCTTCTATGCAAGTAACTTCCTCTTCTACAGGGCTCTCGGAACATGAAAAATGGAGATGAAAGCAAGCGAGACAGCAACAGTCGGGCACTGGTTACTCGAGATTGAGCCAGGGGCTGTGACACGTTGATTTTGGTTTCTATTCACTCTGCAATCCATCAGGTAGGGGTATAAGGTACCCATTTTACCACCTTTGCATTATTGAACCCGCTTAAACCCAATACTCCGAGTCTACGTAATGATATCGTGTTGTCAGACGAGTTTTATTGGCCGGCAATGTTATATTTCCACCTAATAGTCAGCGATCGGCGCCGGCCTAAGGCCCGAATCTTAAGCATAAGTACCGAAGGACGGGGGTTGACCATGCTGATCAATAGATTTTTCAGACCCGAGATTCACATACTATGAGCAGTTTCTTTATCTCCGGTGAATGCAACAAGAGACGCCCTATGCTACCATATAATACCACGTACACAAGTCCGTACAGTTGGGATTGCAATATCGGAGTCGGATTTTAGAGTATGAGATGCAAGGTTCCAGACTCTACTTTCTAATAGCCACAGACACCGCTTGTGAGAACTATCATAGAAGTGGACGAGACATGTTTGATTGGTGCGGGTTTAAGTGCAGCTTAGATACATGGAGATATGCTCCAGGATTCTACAGCTGCACCGTCTTTCTCGTACATAGATGCATGTCTATGGGCCTTTGACACAGTTGCCTAGAGATGTGTCTTAGACCCGTCTGGTTCTCCAATCAGCCTCAAAAATGCCCCGTGAACCTCATCAGTCAGATCACTGGCCTGCATGCTCCGCCCCTTGGCTACAAAGGCTCGTCGTGAGCACTCTCGTGTAATGCTACTGCCTGCCCAAGCCGCCAATAGCAGTGTCGTTGTCGGGGACATGCGCTTATTCTCAGAATCGAGCTCCGCCTGGACATCTTCCTTACTCTGCGCCTCCTTGTCATTGTCCTGCTCGCCAGAGTCCCACAATTTCTCGTGGTAAGCCGCCCGCCAGGCAAGGAATGTACCCAGTGATCCGGTCAGGGTGTCTCCTTGGCCGCCGCTGCGTTTCAAGCCACCCTTGGTATCAGAGATGATACTAGTTACCCCGTTGGATATCACATCTTGAGGACCCTTCTGGAGAATCGTGACCCCACCGAGGGCTTGAGATAGCTGCTCACACGCATCTGATGCTTTGCTGGTGGTGTCACCATTTCCGCCTTGCGCGATCTCCGCTTGACTAGCGACCTTGACCCCCAGCGCTTTTGCTAGACGGCTAAACTCTACCACATTTGGCGTGAGAATACACTCCTTATAGCCTTTGATCAGGCTTGGGTCTTGCGTCACAATCAGCAATCCGTCCGCGTCTAGCACGAACGGGATCGACCGTGACCGCGCCTCTCTGATCACTTCCGCGACCACCTTTAGCGTCACGCCGTCGCGGCCGAGACCCGGTCCAATCACAAGTGCATGGAGGCGAGATAGCATCCCGATGATCGGGCCCGCTAGTGATGCTGCATCAATTGAAATGGGATCCTTGACAGTGTCGCTGCTTGGAAGTAATGGATGTACCATTAAATTTGGTGAGTAACTCTTGATAACCTGTACATTACATGGTTAGGGTGAGTGCAATCTAGGGCGGATGCTAGCTTACTGGTGCTGCGGATCGTTCGCAGAGTACGTGGCTCTGGTGGTTGTTAGTCATTTGCAGAAGGGATGTCATGTTTCGCACATACCATATCACATCCTGCAATCTAAGAGTTAATATATTTTGGTGGGTGGGGAGTATGGGCCTGTTTAGGGGCACGTACCAAGTCTTGCAGAGGCCATGGCTGAAAAGTATGGAGCTCCGGTATAGCTTATCCCAGTTAGTAGGATACAGTTTTACCAAGCAGAGAACCTACTCGACACAGCCTCCAATAACGGCTACACGGCCGAGCTGTCCTGGAGTAATAGTCAGCGGGGGTGTTCATTGCGTGGTAGATGGGGACCTGGTCAACAGACCTTTGTGGAACTTTTCAAGCATTGGAGGTACAATCTTGCGCACCTTGCTGAAGAGGATCTTTGATGAGACCGAGACATGATGAACTGACTCCATTGTAAATATGTGAAATTGGAAATATGTGAAGTCGTAGCAGAAGCTGACTATCAAGAGTGTGTTGGAGCCCTGGAGGTGAACATGGGTGATGTCACCCGCCAAGTGGGGCCTAGACAAGCTTGTTTGTAGTTGTGATATCAAGGCGATAACTTGAATATGAAATGTTGACTACAATATACATATAGAAAGATAGTCCAAAAAAAAAGAAAGTTGGTATTGAAATAGTGCTCGCTATTGATGGTGCTTCAAAGCAAAAAAAGAAGGCATCCCCGTCTATGGACACCCCGAACGCTCATAATGCGGAGTAAATATGTAGTCCTACCCAAAACAAAAGAGAACATGGAAAGTGGTCCAAAGTGTAAAGTAAAGATTTGACAGTATAAAAATGTCCAAACTTCAACGCTTGCTCCTGGAAGCAAGAGCAGCCAATTTCCGCTGGCGCTCCAACTTCTCTTTCTTAGCCGCCATTTCTTGCCGCAGCTCTTTCTCGTCCTCCTGTTTGGCAAATGCCAACGCAGCCGCCTCTTCACGGTCCACATCGTCCATTCCAGCCTCCATGTCGGACGACGCATCGGAGTAGTAATCGTCGTAGCCACCGAGGTCGCCCTCATCTTCTTCGTCAGTTCCGAGATATTCGTTTTGTCGGGAATTGCGAGACTGGTGTCGACGGTCACTTCCACCACGGCTTGAGGGCAGGCCTGCAGTTCCACGGTAGGCAGGCGGCTCGGGAGTCTGTGTCGGTTTGGCCGTGCCCTTATATGAGGGACCTTCGGAATCGCGCTGGCGGACAGCAGGTTTACCCTTCGCAGAAACGCCCGATCCAGCCTTCCTTCCCACACGCGCTTCTTTTTCTTTGGCTTGCATTTCCATCATGCGCCGCTTGCGCTCCACTTTAGTGAGTCTTTCTTTGGGACCGGCTTGGTGTCGTAGCAAGCCTACTCCCACAGGCGCCGTCTCTTGCTTAGCCTTTGCCTGCGCCATGATCTCCGCAAATGATCCCTTTGGTGGCGGCTTTGAGCTTGTGGCAGCGCCGGCCGATGTGGGTTTAGGGGTGGACTCCTTCTGTGAGGCTGTCACTTTTGAGGCCGCAGACAAGCTGGGTTTGGGGGTGGGCTTAGGCAGGGCTGGCCTGGAGGTGATGGTCGGGACAGGCTTGGGCACAGCTCTGGGTGGTGCTGATGATACCGCTGGCCTCGTGGCGAGCGTGGACTTCGTTGCAGCGGGGGCATTTGTCACTTTGCTTTCAGGTTTTGGTAGGCGAGGCAGCTGATCCTCAGCTTTGCGCTTAATCCCTCCACTGGCATTCCCGCTAGTTGGAGGCGCCCGTCGCACAGCTGTCGGTTTTCGATCCTCCTTTTTAGGGATCGAAGCAGGCGCAGGTGAGGTAGGCGCCTGAGACAGTGGGGGTTGAGAAGGCTTACCCGTCTGGAGAGACGAGAGAACAGAATCGAGGAACTATGCTATGTCAGTCAAAATGAGGCGAAACGAAGAAAAAAATAGGTAGCATACACTCATTTTGGTTGCAGGAGGAATAACCCGAAAGGTGTCAAGTCAAAGAGTGGTACAGAGAAGAAGTCGCTCACCGTCGATATTTGGTACGACTAAGTAACTTCATGACTCCGAGCCCGATAGCATGAGAATGGATCTCTGGCTTGCCGCGATCCGGATTTTCTGTTATTCCAATATAACAGAACTAGGAAAAGTAAAGGCTGCGCCTGACTTGGCCCAAGAGCTTTTCAAGTGAGTGGTATATACTCCGTAGACGAGTAGGAAAGGTAGACAGGTTTCTGGCCAGCATGCAATTATCAAGGCCGGATATGAAATAGTCACGTGATGACAAACACACTGCGCCACACCACTCGCTTAGAAGTCCCGCCCGGCACTAGCCACACCCACTCGCACCACCTTTTTTCAAGATTTTGAGCACTCGGTTAATCTTTCGTCAACCAACCTCTTCCACCAGAACTCGACGTTGCAGTCTCCGCCCAATTCGCGGTTAAATCGATTGTTTCTCTTGTTCAGATAATAATCACCAACGGTATGTACACCTCGTTTTTCGTACCTCAGCCGATTTCACGGCTTGAGAAGTGCTATCGCATCCGATCTTGAATTCGCGATACTAATGAAGATTTTTTTTGTCTAGTCCTTTCAAAATGAAGTATCTCGCCGCCTACCTGCTCCTCGCCCTTGCCGGCAACGAGGCCCCCTCCGCCGCCGACATCAAGGCCGTCCTCTCCTCCGTCGGCATCGACGTTGAGGGTGACCGTGTCGAGAAGGTCATCTCCGAGCTCCAGGGCAAGGACCTCCAGGAGGTTAGTTGACACCCGCACGCGCACATATTCGACCTGAACTACATGCTGACTCTTTACATAGCTGATCTCCGAGGGCTCTGCCAAGCTCGCTTCCGTCCCCTCCGGCGGTGCTGGTGCCGCTGCCCCTGCCGCTGCCGCTGCCGGTGGTGCTGCCGCTCCCGCTGAGGAGAAGGTTGAGGAGAAGGAGGAGGAGTCCGATGAGGACATGGGCTTCGGTCTCTTCGATTAAGCGCTCTAATCAAAGGCCTAAAAATTATGGTTCTGGGGAACAGATGTTTGGTTGGTTCGTCAGTCCGGGCAAGATTTGCGCCGGTTGGCTTCTCAAGTGTGCTTATGTTGAGACTGTTTTGATACAGTTGCGACTTTTCATATGAGCTGGAATAAGCTTATAGCCAATACAATCCATCTGGCCTTCACTACAACTTTTCTCCATACGTATATGTAGTTCTCGAAAGATCGCCGGGACCCGCTCAGCGTTTCAGCAATAGCGTATAATCGAGATTCAATCATCCACGTCATGGTAACTAAGTGTCCTCAGATTGTATTCAGATAAGGGCCATCAACAACCTCCGATGCCGATACGAGCACTGGGAGGGCGATGGGTAATCACAATACAAATAAATTACACTGCTGGGTACAAGCTTTTTGATGACTTCCCAAGCAAAGTCGAGTAAATTAAGAAGATCACAAAGGGTCGTATTACGAAGCAAAAACCAATGTTTCGAAATAGATTACGTATGACCCAAAGGGGTATAGTGTCTAGGGCTTGGAACCTACCCGTCGCTTAACGAGTGCTGCCCACCTCCTAGAGCCTGTGTGTTAGTAGCCCGACCGCTTAGCGACACGACAATTTCCGACAACCCATCCTCCTTCGCTTTTCGAGATACGGTCGAAAGGCGGTTTATAGGAATATCTGCAAAAATGGCTGACATGGAATACGTGAGTTTTTTTTGGTTACCGCCCTTCAAGCCCGTGCGATGCACTAACATGGAGTTTTCATCTAGAACGCCGAGGAGGCTGCCGGTACGTTAAGAAGAATCAACCCCCACCCCTACCCATCGCCCATGGACAGAAGAATAGGATGAGAGGAGAGGACGCGCATTATGATCGACTACACGATGATTATTGAAGAAATACACTTTGGCGGGGAACGACATGGACCTGGGATGCAGGGAAACACGCACAACAACAATATCGCAGACGCTGACTGAACCTTCGCCAAACAGAGATCAAGAAGAGAAGACAGTTCCGCAAGTTCTCTTACCGCGGCATTGACCTCGACCAGTACGTTCCCATTATCAATCATCGAACCCTTGGACATCCATTCGCAGCCAGTGCCTCGTGAGACGGAATTGAAGGATGGTCATCTATCATGCCAATGACCATTATGGATGAACCGCATGTGGCATTTCGGTTCTCGCCTCCTTGGCGCTGCGTTGCGAATGGACACCAAGGACGAAAAATTTGCAAGGACATTGGTCTGACTGAATCCTTTTACAGGCTCCTCGACCTTTCCTCCGAGCAGCTCCGTGATGTCGTTCACGCCCGTGCCCGCAGACGTTTCAACCGCGGTCTGAAGCGCAAGCCCATGGGTCTCATCAAGAAGCTCCGCAAGGCCAAGCAGGAGGCCAAGCCCAACGAGAAGCCCGACCTCGTCAAGACCCACCTCCGTGACATGATCGTCGTCCCCGAGATGATCGGCTCCGTCGTCGGTATCTACTCCGGTAAGGAGTTCAACCAGGTTGAGATCAAGCCCGAGATGGTTGGCCACTACCTGGCTGAGTTCTCTATCTCTTAGTACGTGCTCCCGAGATTTGTTCCCCTATGACCATTAACATCAGATTACTAACAACCTCACAGCAAGCCCGTCAAGCACGGTCGTCCCGGTATCGGTGCCACCCACTCTTCCCGTTTCATTCCCCTCAAGTAAACGATTTCAAACGATTCCCCTCGGAGTGGCGTGTGGAGGAAATGGTGCTGGGAAAGCAAAAATGGAATTCAGCAAAACTCTCAACTGGGCTCTTTTTTTTCAGCATGTATTTCCAGTGCGGGTCAGCTGTTTCCAACTCAATTTAAGATCTTGTCGGCATGAAATCATCTTGGGATCTGGATTTAGTCCCTCGTCGAATCTGGCGAGGTAAAAAAGATACTCTTTCCTTAGTCTTGCTTTGTGTCAGCGGGGAAGGAGTCTAAATCTTAACGACACTACCAATTTCATTTCCAGACACAATCGTAGGCCAGTAACACTCAATGGCACACTAGACAACACTAGTCAACCCCATCTCATGATCCCTGAGTCTAGGTCATGAAGTTCGTTAAGACTACCCCGTCGTATTACTGCGAAGTGCTCCACAAATTGGACTCCGCTACCTTTACTCTGGGGAAGCGGGATCGTGTCATTCAATTTATTGAGCCTCATCGGGCGTAAATCCCTGATTATATATAGAAAGGACCATTTCACAAATTAAGCCTTTCTCTGCCTTCTTCTGCCGTTTATGTATGAAACCGAGAAGTGCAAAACATCCATAAAGAAAGACATCTAAAAGGACATCTAAAAAGACAACCAGAAAGATTAAATAAAAAGACGTTACAAGGCCGCAACCGAGTATTCTTGTGTGATATTGAATATAGACTAGCAATGGTTGACAGTTTATTCTCCAATGGGATGTCTTTTTGTATGTCTTCTCTCTCTCTCTCTCTCTATTGCTGGCCATATACAGAACATATCCTAGGCTACTCTTTAAATATATATTTCTAGAAGGGCCCCTTCCAGAATGACTCGGCCATTCTAGGTTGTTAGAAACTGTACTCATTGTCTCAAACCCGTTTCATGTCACCATTTAACTGCCTGACTTCCAACCTTGGAAAGTTTGAAGCTGGCTTCTTATCAAATTGTGAGGTTTTAGCCCTGGAGGTGGACATGGCGGGTATGTTGTGATGTCACATCGCTCCACGCAATTTTACTTTCACCAGTTCTTATACTTCGTGCAGCAACATTTTATCTGAGATATCTTACTGTACATTTCCCGCTTCTACTCAAAATGTTGCCCTTCATTCGGCACTCGGTGAGGTCGCGTGTGTATCCACGGAGGGCCAAATCGCCGAGATGTCCGAGTGCCGATCTCAACGATCTCAACGGTTATACTACATGAACCCCAACGGTGCAGATGATTATTTGAACTATGCAGTACATAGTACGAGACTGGATATTTCGATGTAATTGAGACAAGTTAACAAAGAAGCAGTTTTAAATCGGAGTGGGCCTTGGGGTCGGGTATTGGGCTGCATACTAATGCAATGGGCCGAGGCAAGCCGCGAGCCGAGATTGCGGAGAAAGACCTATCTCTTTAAGTACTCGGTTGCTCGTGGTCCATCCCTTTCGTCTTTCATCTGACAGTACTTTTGAGCCTCTTTCACATTCCCCATATTCGGCTCCTTGGCTTTATTTCCCCGCAATGCCTGTCCCCTCCAAGTACCCCCTGGTCGATATCCCAGAAGTGGATCTTTGGACCTTTCTATTTGAGCGCACTGATAGAGCTTATCCAGATGACAAGAGTGCGTATCATCCAAGGAGAACCCCAATGCTGCACTGTTGAATACAGCATTTGCCATTCTCTTGAGCTTTCCTTCCACTAACCCCCAACTAGTTATCTACCAAGATGCCGATACCAAACGCCTTTACACATACAAATCGCTACGTGATGCCTCGCTAGATTTCGGCAAGGGTCTGAAAGCCCTGTATGAGTGGCGCAAGGGCGATGTACTGGCCCTCTTCACACCAAACAGCATCGACACACCCGTCGTGATGTGGGGCACACTTTGGGCCGGCGGAATTATCTCGCCTGCGAACCCGGGTTACACGGTTGACGAGCTGGCCTTCCAGCTCAAGAACTCTCATGCCAAGGGACTTGTAACGCAAGCTTCGGTGCTGTCTGTTGCACGGGAAGCTGCGAAGAAAGTCGGCATGCCCGAGGACCGAATTATTTTGATTGGGGACCAGCGGGATCCAGATGCGCGCATCAAGCATTTCAGCTCTGTGCGCAATATCTCTGGTGCTACCCGCTACCGTAAGCAGAAGATCACTCCTGCGGCGGATGTGGCGTTTTTGGTTTATTCGTCTGGTACTACAGGTGTGCCTAAAGGTGTCATGTTATCGCATCGGAATATCGTTGCCAATATTAGACAGCAGTTCATTGGTGAGGGTGGAATGTTGAGTTGGGATGGCGGTCTTGATGGGAAGGGTGACCGGGTCTTGGCATTTTTGCCGTTCTTTCATATCTATGGTAAGGATTTCAATCGCGCAGATGCTCGGATGAACAAGATACTAACTACGAGACTCTAGGATTGACCTGCTTAATTACCCAGGCTTTATACAAGGGTTATCACTTGATCGTCATGTCCAAATTTGACATTGAAAAATGGTGTGCCCACGTGCAGAACTACCGCTGTTCCTTCAGTTACATCGTCCCCCCTGTGGTGCTATTGCTAGGCAAGCACCCAGTGGTCGACAAATACGACCTTTCAAGTCTTCGCATGATGAACTCCGGCGCCGCACCGCTCACGCAAGAGCTGGTAGAGTCAGTCTACTCCCGCATCAAGGTTGGCATCAAGCAGGGCTACGGACTCAGCGAGACCAGCCCAACTACACACTCCCAGCGGTGGGAGGACTGGCGCGAAGCTATAGGTTCCGTTGGCCGCTTGATGCCTAATATGCAAGCTAAGTATATGACTATGCCTGAGGATGGATCCGAACCTAAGGAGGTTGCCGAGGGCGAGGTCGGCGAATTGTACCTGAGTGGACCTAACGTTTTCCTGGGATACCACGAGAACCCAGAGGCTACTAAGGGCTGCTTGTCTGAGGACGGGTGGTTCCAGACCGGTGATGTTGGATACCAGGACGCCAAGGGCAATTTCTACATTACCGATCGTGTCAAGGAACTCATTAAGTATAAGGGCTTCCAGGTGCCTCCTGCTGAGCTGGAAGGATATCTGGTTGATAACGATGCTATTGATGATGTTGCTGTCATTGGCATTGAGAGTGAGGCACACGGCTCCGAGGTTCCTATGGCTTGTGTCGTTCGTAGCGCGAAGAGCAAGTCTTCTGGAACAAGTGCGAAGGACGAAGCAGCGAGAATTATCAAATGGCTGGATGGCAAGGTCGCTAGCCACAAGCGTCTGCGTGGGGGTGTGCAATTCGTGGATGAGATCCCCAAGAACCCCAGCGGGAAGATCCTGCGTCGGATTCTGAAGCAGAAGTTCAAGGGCGTGGCTGAGGCACCCAAAGCCAAGCTGTAAATGAGTTTTCTTATATATGCACATAATATACACTTTAGATGTGTTTATATTCATATCAAATCCATGTTCATGTTCATACTTGAAGGATGTAAGATCAAAAATTTAATCATCCAACCCCAAGCCCTTTCCTAGTACAGAAACCTAGAGATTCAACCCGGGCCCCAATCACCTAAGGAAAAAACCTCTTAACCATACCCTCAACATCCTCCCCAACAACAGCATCAACCTTCTCCCTCGCAACCCTCTCAACAGCCTCCTCAACAGCCTCCTCCCCATTAACAAGATCAACCCAACCCTCCGTATCAGCCCTAGCAAGTAGAAGATCCGCCGCAATCGCTACATCCTCCCGAGTAACACTTCCCCGGCCTTTAGGCGTGATCCCCAGCTCGACCTTCCGCGTGGCAGGCTTGTCAGTCAGAAGCCCAGGCCGCAGGTTAATAGCCTGGAATGGGCGCGCGGGTCCAGACTCGCGCTTCCGCTGCGCAGCCAGTGCTGTCATGTACTCGTCGGCTTCTTGCTTGGCTTGAGCGTATGTCGGTAGTACTTCGGTGTTCGTCTTTACTATTCCTGCCCATTCGTCGTCGGGCATCCAGCTCGGCTGCTTGCGTCGACTGCCGAGGTATGAGACCATGAGGAATTTGCTTACGCCTGGTGAGGCGAAGGATGCTGTTATGAAGTGCTTCGCGGCTTCTTGGTCGATTGCGATTGTGCGTGCTGGGCCGCCTTTACCGCCGGCGCCTGGGTTTGCGTGTTAGTTTGTGGATTTCTCATCGTAGGCTATATAGGTCTATGTTTTCCACCATATTTCTCTTTGGTGGGGATGGTTTATGTGCGTGTTGTGCGTTGGAATGGTATAAGTGGGTGCGGGGTGAGGGGTGAGGGGTGCCATACCAGCCGACCAGACGACATAGTCCGGCGTGACCGTGTCGATGATTTTTTGGGCGTCTGAGGGACTTTTCACATCCTCTAGACTCGAGAGTAGAACATTGAGTGTGCCCTTCAGGCCTTTGCCCAGAGCTAGAATCTCGCTTTCATGCGCGGGGTTGCGGATGACGCTGGTTACGCTCCAAGCCCGGTTGAGGAGGAGCGGAGTAAGGTGGAGGGCGACTTTGCCGTGACCACCGAGTAGAAGGACATGCATTTTTGGATATTATTTTTATGAGACTTTGTGTGTGTATGAGAGAAGATGTCGGAGGGTTGGTATTTGTGATTTTTAGTTGATTGGGGAAGGAAACTCGTTGCGTCATCGTAATGGATTCCTCCCAAACGGTGATCTTGGCATTGATTTATAATTGGGAAGACATGTAAATAGAAACTGATAGATATATATGTTGTATGTGGAAAACGAAATACGAGTAAATTGCGCTAATCTGAGGATTCCTTAACAGTTTTACAGCACAGTCGTTATAAGCCAAAATATTAGGAAGGTTCGAAACCATTCAATTTAAATCCATCTATAGATGGCTATATATAAGTACAATGATGTCGCAATGCGATTAGCAGCATATTTCACCTCGTGATACCCTGGGTCATCCAGTCAAACTTTGCTTGAAGATAACCCAGTCTCTGCCAGGTCGATGTCATGCTGATTGGTGATCACTATTTGATCGCTAGCAATTTAGCAAGAAGCGCCGGTGGGCACACCAGAGCACTTCTTGCCGTTCTTCTTACCACCAGAGATGGTGTTTCCAGACCAGGTCCAGTTCTTGCAGCTACCCTCGCCGCAGAGAATGTAGACGGGAATAGCGCTGCTCTTGACAGAGCCGGTAACCTTCTCGACAGTGAGGCCAGTAATGGGGACACCGGTGGTGGGCTTGCCGGTAGGGCTACCGTTCTGATAATCCTGCTCGATGACGATACCGTACTTGGCGATGTTGGACAGCTTGATGTTGGAGAAAGTGACGCCGGAGACAGCACCGGTGGCCTTGTAGATGGTCTTGACACGGATACCGTTGTCAGAGTTGAGAACGGTGGAGTCGGAGATGGTGACGTCCTTCACGATGTTGTTGTCGCGCAAGCCAACGGAACCGATGGAGATACCGTGGCCGCCGGAGCAGGTGCCGCCGATGAAGTTGATGTTCTAGGGGACAGCCAGGTTAGTTTTGGTCATTTTATGGTAGAGGTATCTTTTGACTTACGGAGCCAGAGTTGATGGCCAGGCAGTCGTCCTGGTTCTTGATGTTGGCGTTGCTGATGGTGATGTGGGTGCTCTCACCAACATCGAAGGCATCGGTGTTGTGGCCTCCCTTAGTGTCACCCAAGCTGTTGTCGATGGTGATGTGGTCGAGGATCAGGTTGTTGGCCTGAACACTGAAACCCTGGACGGGGGTGTTCTTGACGTTGAGTCCGGTGATGGTCGAGTCGTCGAGGGAGTGGGCGTAGAAGAACTTGGGCTTCTTCTTTCCGCCGTTGGTTCCCTTGCCGTCCCACCAGCTGGCACCGCCACCGTTGATGACATGGCCGGCTTCGCCGGAGATGTGGATGTTGCTTCCGGAGGCGCGGATGAGGGGACCAGTCCACTCCTTGTATCCGAAGGAGGTTTCGCCCTTGAAGATGACCTATACAGCAGCTATTAGATCTTTGGTTCTTGGCGCTTGAATAACGGAGTGGCCTACCTTAGCGCCGCTCTTCAGCTTGGAAAGGTCGAGGGTCTCGCCGGCAGGGACCTTGATGTTGTCCAGCACAATGGTGGAGCAGGACGACTTGCCAGACTTGACGGCAGCGGCGGAGGTGAAGGTGCAGCTGGAGGAGCCGCGCTCAACAAGATCGGTAACAGGAGCAGCAGCTGGGGCAGCGGACACAGCGGCAGCGCTGAGGGCCAGCATGGCAACGAAAGATGTACGCATTTTGAAGTAAATGTCCGATCAACAGACAAGTAAAAGAGTGTATATGTTCGGGACTAGCCGACTTGAGTGCAAAAGGAAATGAGGAATGAATGAATGAGTGAATGAATGAATTGGTTTGAATAAGCTTCCATCGAGCTTGGCCTCGGTATTTAAAGGCTTGGTCTGTAGGGCAGCTTCCCAAAAGCCCCCTGCGCTAATATCTTCATGAAACGGGACTATGTACGGGGTACCACCATCTGTCATGATGCTGACCCCTGTTCTCAGTAGGACCCCTCCTTGGAAAGCACTAAGTCGTGAGATGCAGGGATCAATAATAACTGTTGGGTGGTCCATTAGATTAATCTATTAAGGGTTGACTATACCAAACTTGGTGACTCTCCGAAACTTTTTAGCTCCACTATGTCCAGAGCCCCGTCGAAATAATGGTCAGTGCTGGAATATTCAATACCCGGAATATCTTCGGGCAAAGGGACCGAGACATCTTAGTTTATGTCCAATTAGGACACCGGATTAATATCTGCAGACCCTGCGGAACTCCGACAAGCTTGTGTTTCACGCCAAGCACTTAATTGGAAGAATAGATGGGTGTAAGGCTGGGTCAATATGGAATACGTGAAGACCCATGGAAGAATTTGTGGCGCTGAAACAAACATGCACCCTTTTATTTACAGTATGCGTGTGGTCTTTTGTTTGATTGGTGCCCTAATCTAGATACTCGCATGGCGATGAGGGGCTCGCAGCTCGGTAGGCGTTTTTGAAAAGCCCTAGGAGACTTCCGAAGGTTCCAAGCTGGTGGAGCAAAGCCGAAAAAAGCCTCGCTTATACAAAGTATGATTGCGCCATCATGAACTACATATCTATGTTGTAGGTATATACATACTATGGAGTACGGAGTACCTAGATAGAATCCCTGAATTTCCTAATGGCCCTAATAGAGAATACTATATTCTCTATGTTGTAGCGTTGTAGAGGTGATATAAAAACAGGTGTCTTCTGATTGGCTAGCTCAATTATCACATTCCCAGAGCTTTTTTTCCAAAAGTCTAGAACCAAGAAATGAGACAAAAATGCGCTCTAAACAAGGAAGCTTATGCGACCGACTATTCCTGTGCAATATACGGAGTAGATTAAGATACTCAGGAGGTACAAAGGTACTCCCGGAGCTCCGCACAACATGTGTTGTACTCCGCAGATAATTGTGCCAAGCGCTCAACTCTTGGCACAATTACTGGGTGTCTGCCTAGTTACCCCTAAGCTGATCAAATAATCATGCAGACGCCTCCTATTCAGCCACATCGCGCTTGGTTATGGGCGGAAAAGTCTTTTTTTGCTAAGCGTGATAAGATAACGAGGTGATGGCCGTTTGAACGTGGTGCTCCGGAGTACACACAAGGCTGAACGAAGTATCCTTGCTACGGAGTACAGGGTATGGTAGAACTAAGGTGGGCAAGCCTTCTACTGCTGCCGGGTAACCGACTTGACATGAAATACCGGAACTCGGAACAAGCAAGAAAGCGAGACAGCGCTATCAACGGCTTGTTTCGGGTTTTTACGCATGACGAACAAACTCGGAAACCGGCGGATCTCAATGCTGTCAGCAAGTCAGGGAAACTTTAATATAACTAGCTCATTGCTTCAAATGGACATGTCGAAGTCGTGAGGAAGTTCATGTAGGATCCAAGGTTGTCAAACAATATAGACCACGGGAATAGTAGCAGATATTTTATAGCATCTCAACTAGTTAGTCCCTTTCGATTTCTTCCTTGAGTTGGGAATTGGTGAGGATTTGAAAGGATTTGAAAGGTGCGGTAAAACTTTCCGTGATATAGCCTATGATAATCGTTGTATACTATGAGATAATAGGCTAGGGTATCAACCACCATCTTCTGCTTAAAGGTTATTTCACAATCAGTCGTTGTGATGAGCTCACCTTTCTCGAAAGCACATTAGAGTCAGAAGCGTGCAAGAAAGCAAAGGGTTGATATGGAGCAGCGCTTACTAGAGATATATATTCATACGGGGATCAACCATCCGTTTGACATCATCACCTGTCACCGACTGATTTATAGCTACTCTACGTCATCTCTTGCTCTTCGTGTATCTTAAGATCTCCTGTACCTTAAATACCTAGTTTGATGATGGTTGATGAATAGCAACGATGATCAATCCAATTCGTAACATATCAAGTCACCACGCGAGACCATCTTGAATCCACCATGATCAGGTCGATCCAGGCTGCTCAGCGCTTGGACTCTCGAGGACACCCAACTGTTCAAGTTGATCTCACTACGGACAAAGGCAAGAGAGCACCAACGGTAACTAAGCTCACTTCTTACACCGATGCAGATACTTTTCGAGCCATCGTCCCCTCTGGTGCGTCTACGGGTGCGAATGAAGCGATTGAGCTGCGAGATGGGGATAATTCTGCATATGGCGGCAAAGGCGTCCAGAAAGCTGTTTCGAACATCGGACTGGTTATTGGTCCTGCCCTAGTACAGAGCGGGCTCAAGGTCGATACGCACCAGAAAATGATTGATGATTTTCTTAAGAATCTGGACGGTACAGACAACAAGTCAAAGCTCGGGGCGAATGCCATTTTGGGCGTCAGTATGGCATGTGTCAGAGCGGGTGCAGCTCATTCAGTAAGTTAGAATTAAGGATACCGATGGAAAAGTATGGCTGGTATATGTTTAGGGAGTTCCATTGTACGAGTTTCTTCGACGTGAATCTGGAGCGAAAAAGCCATTTGTGATGCCAGTGCCATTCTTCAATGTTCTAAATGGAGGTGTGCATTCGGGCAATAAGATGGCCTTTCAAGAGACTATGATCGCTCCTGTTGGAGCATCCTCTTTCACGGAAGCAGTACAAATGGGTAGCGAGGTTTATCAGCAGCTGAAGAAGGTCATTGTTGAGAAATTTGGAACATCTGGTTAGCGTACCTTTCACAATATTTAGCGTAGGTGTTGCTGACAATCGCATTCAAGCGACCGGCATTGGAGACGAAGGGGGCTTTGCACCCCCGATTTCTCAGCCTCATGAGGCCCTAGATCTCCTGGTCGAAGCCGTCTATCGTGCTGGATATACCGACAGAATCAAATTCGCTATTGATCCGGCATCGAGCGAATTCTTCAGAGGTGGAAAGTATGATATTGGGTTCAAAGACGACAAACCGAACCCGCAAAGCTCACAACAGCTTGCAGAGTTGTATCGCTCGTTGTTGCAAAATTATCCTATCGTTCTCCTGGAAGATCCGTTCGCCGAAACTGATTGGGACAGTTGGACAGAATTTAACAAAAAATGTCCAGTCGAACTGGTTGGGGATGATTTACTGGTCACGAATACGAGAAACGTGCAAGAGGCCAATGCCAAGAGAGCGTGCAATTCCATGCTACTCAAAATTAACCAAATAGGCACCATCTCCGAAGCAATTGAGGCGTGGGTCTCCCTTGAATTCCCCTATTGTTCTGGAAGCAATCTATTTATGTCTTAATATAGGGCGGACTTGGCGTTCAGTTTTGACTGGAGTGTTTTCTTATCCCACCGGTCTGGTGAGACGACCGATGATTTTATTGCTGATTTGGTCGTGGGGTTAAGGACTGGCCATCTTAAGTCCGGGGCACCTTGCCGGGGTGAGAGAGTGGCTAAGTATAATCGGCTCATGGATATTGAGGCAGAGTTATTGGGAAAAGGTGAAAAATGTCTTTATGCTGGTTCCCAGCTCAGGGTAGCATCTAAATGCTGAGATTGTATTCGAAGAAGACATACAACATAGATATTCAAGAAAAAGATTCATATTCTTGTAGCTCCAAGACCATGAGACCTTGAGACCATCAGACCATGTGGTGAGAAATTGCCGAGGTTGGGTCTCTCCGTACCCACTCCCCTTCCCATCCCCGGACTTCATCTGGGCAGTTATGCTCTAACCTGGTATCAACAACAACATGTCCACACCGGACAGACCGCCAGTCCCAGGGGATGCGCTGGACCTCCCCCCACGCGCCGTACGCGACATTCTCCGTGTTTGTCTCGGTGCTAAAGAATACCGATTCCTCCATGAATCAGTAATCAAACGTGCCCCTGCCGTCCAAAGCAAGCTCCCATCTCCATCTCGCTACGATGCCATCGCTCGTCCGAATAATCGACACAGTGAAGCTGCTATTCGCTCATCACTGCGAGTCTTGGTCGGTTCCGGAATCGCGTTGAAGTTGGCGGATCTGTTGATGACTCGGTTCCAAGGCGCTCCACAGTAAGATCAATTTAATCTATCAAGAGACTCCTCCTTTACAAACATGCACTAACACGGGCTCTAACAAATAGGAAGAAGACCCGGACTTCCCTCCTCCGCTCCCCCAAATTCCGTCTCTCCATCTCCCTCTCCCTCCTCCTTCTCATCCATCGCCTCCTCTACCGCTTCCTTATCCGACTGCGAGCCAACCTCCGCACCGACGATGCAAAGCCGTTCAGAGAGCGCAACCCGCGTATCTCGCGGGCGCTGACGTCGCGCTTTGCGCCAGCGATCGGCGCAAGTCTGGCGGGTTTCGCCCTGGGCATCTGCCCGCAAGACCAGCTCCGACTGACTGCCGCGATTTACACAGGCACCAGGAGCTTGGAGTTCTTCTTTAATGTCCTGGACTCTGAGGGCTGGTTGGATAAGCGCCCGTGGTGGTTCGGCAGCTGGCTGTTGATGCCCATCTCATTTGCGCAGCTCTTCCATGCTTTCGTGTTCGATCGCGAGACTACGCCTAATGTTTGTGATGGGGATATTTTTGGTTTGAGTTACGGTCGCTAATTTGTTGTCATAGTGGTTTCCAAAGGTTATTCTCAAGCTCTCGCCGAGCTACATCCAAGGCCGACCGGAGTCACTCCCGGACAATATCGCCTGGCCCGAGAAGGAAGAGATTGTGAACTCTCTTGCATCTATTGCTGATCTCCGCTGGCCGTATGTTTGAACTCGAGTCTGTTAATGAGCATAAATGTTGCTAATACCACACAGGGCATTCGTTTCTCCAATCCTACACCCGGGTGACCCCAACACCTTACCGTCATCAGTGGCTTCCATCTCCCCAATCACTGGACCGGCACACCCTGCAATCTCGAGTCTATCGTGCGCGCTCTTGCACCCAAACCTCCCGAATTGTAGCACGGCGTTTTTGCATCACATTCTCCTCTCCGTGCCACTGCTTGCGCGGTTCCTGACAACTGTCACTCTGGCACTTTCGATCCCCAAATTCAAGAGCATTCTGCTTCAGCCTATTTCATCAGTGAACACTATTTCGAAGCGCATTATCACCATGACAGCGGTTCTCTCTGCTGCAATTGGCACAGCCTGGGGTAGTGTCTGTCTCTTGAACAACAACTTGCCTCGAACAACGCTTCCAACCAAGCGGTTCTTCCTCAGTGGAGCACTGGGTGGTCTGCCATTTTTGTTCCTGGGCAACAGCCGTAGCACGTTCCTCTGGTTCTTCCGGGCCGCTGTTGATTCGGCATACAAGACAGGGGTCAAGCGTGGACTATGGAAAGGCCGAAAAGGCGGTGAGCTTTTGTTGTTTGTTCTCTCCTGGGCGCTTATGGGGTCGATCCTTGAGGGGAACCCTGAGGCCGTGCAGGGTGGTGGACTGCGTAAAGCTCTGGCCTGGCTGAGAGGTGATGGATTTGCGGATCCAGTGGATATTGCGAAACGCAAATTGCGACGGGAATCAAAGAAACCCGAAGGAAATGAGGTAACCAGTCAATAGCCCCTTTTTTTATGTCCCGATGTTATATTTGGAGTTGGTCGGTGTGGAATTCACTTTCCGACCCCACGTTTGCGGAGAAGATCTTCGGAGATTGGCCTCCGCATTTAGTTCCCCGGGTCTTTATAACTCCCAGCTTAGTTTTCAGAATTCCCCCTTCATTAGCAATTGATCTTTTATTTCTTGATTTCGTTCATATTACTTGACCTCGACATTTTACACATAATGACGGCCCAAAGATTGAAGATCGGCTGTGCTGGTCTAGGCCGTATGGGCAAGCGCCATGCCCTAAACTTCCTGGAGCGTACTCCCCGAGCTGAGCTTGTGGCTGCCAGCTCCCCTGACCCCGTTGAACTCGAATGGGCCAAGATTCACCTCGAACCCTATGGCGTAACCCTGTACCAGAACTACGACGATATGCTCAAGCATGAAGGTCTAGTTGCCGTGGTGGTTGCGTCGGCAACTGCAGTGCATGCCGAGCAAGCAATCAAGGCAATTGAAGCAGGAAAACACACCCTTTGCGAGAAGCCTATTTCTACAAGTCCTGAAGTGGTAAGTTGGTTGTATTTTGAATCTATCTCAACCCCAATTCAGTCCAGTCTACCAAATACAAAGAAACCAAAACATTGAACCCAAGAACTAACAATCCACCTCTTACACAGTCCCAATCCGTTGTCGATGCAGCATCCAAGAAGCCTCACCTCAAAGTGATGTGCGGCTTCTCCCGCCGTTTCGACAAGTCCTACCGCGACGCATACGAAAAGATGCAATCGGGAGCAATCGGCACCGCCTCAGTTCTCCGCAGTCAAACCTGTGACAAACTCGACCCGAGCGGATTCTTCGTCGCATACGCAGAGTTCTCCGGCGGAATCTTCGTCGACTGCTCCATCCATGATATCGACCTCACACTCTGGTTCTTCGGCGACCAATGTAAAGTCAAGTCCGTATCGGCGGTAGGCATCACAGCCGTGGAACCCGATCTGCGCAAACACAACGACCGTGACAACGCCGTCGGCTTGGTCGAGTTCTACGACGGCCGCATTGCCTACTTCTATGCTTCCCGCATGATGGCCGCTGGCCAGGAGGATACTACGGAGATCATTGGCACCAAGGGAAAACTGGCGGTTAATACCCAGCCTGCGTTGAACCACGTTAATGTCTATGATGAGTCCGGGATCAGGAGGGAGATTCCTCAGAACTACTATGATCGCTTTGAGTATGCGTTTGTCACAGAGGCGAATGAGTTCTCCGCTGCTTGTCTGGATAACACGGCGTTGCCGCTTGATCTTAACAATGCTGTTAAGGCGGTTCGGATTGGGGCTGCGTTGCAGGAGTCGTTGATTACCCAGAAGAAGATTTTCTTCGATGAGGATGGGAATCGGACTGAGTTGGCTCGTTTGTGAGTAATGTGTGATGTGATGTGTTTCGGGGTTTGCAAATACACCATATACGTTCAATGTTGTTATAGAATACCCTTTCACAAATGAGATGATATATGACCTTCAATATGGGCAATCTTGTAGTCTGGTTCAAAATAGACTTGTCTAAATTCAACGATTCATTATGCGCACAGGGGTAAGCGAGCTGTCCTGTGTACAGTAGCGTCGACCGGGGTTAGTGGCCCTTAATACCGTTTGCAATCTCCATGGATAGTATATTCACTTAACCTTGTAGAGAAGGTAAGATGGAAAAGAGGCCATGGTCTGAATGGGGCTGGAGACTTGAGGGAGAGAAAGAGAGGAAGACAAATCTAGCCCTGGAGGTGAGAGGTAAAGTACGTGAAGGTGCGATCCACCTGAGGCAGTAATGCTGCCTCAACAACCTTCCAGCCTATACTATACTGTGTCGAAGGGCTGATTAAATTCGTCTCTATAAATCTAATTTCTGGATTTGTTTGCCTGGAATGATTCCAAGGTTGGAAGGTATGATTTCTAACGCTAATTGAATGTGATGGCATGTGTCGTAGCTATTTCAAGGGATTGAAAAAGGAAGAAAAGGGGAATCATGAGAGAAAGTGTGTAGAATAAAAACGCATGGAGAGCAAGTCACAGTCTACCACTTGAGGACCTTAGTGGGGAAGTACTCGTTGATGAGCTCTAGGTAGTACGGCTAGAAAGAAACAAGTCAGCCTCGAGTTCACAAATCACTAACAGAAGCAAAACATACCTTCAATTCCTCAACACTGGGAATTCCATCACTCTTGCTGTACAAGTCATAAGGATTGAAAGCCCTGACAGCACGCAGCATATCACGGTCGTGGTCATTCATTAACTCGTGGTATGCACCAGCGCTGTGCCAGGGGTAGAAAGAGTGATAGCGGATCATAGCGAGCGCCTCATCGGGAAGGGTCGACTGCTCCTTAGCGAGGTGGTAGAGGTACTCATCATGACCCCAGGAGAGCATGACCTTATTGAGACCACAGCCAGGGGTGTAGATACCGAACTTAGTATCGTAAATCTTGTGGCCGAAGTCCTCGTTGTCGCGGAACGAGTCACGGCCGTAGACGATTTTGTCATCGAAGCCACAGCCGACGGGGAAAGTGTCGCCGACAACGTCCCATTGGCCCTCGGCATCGAAGAAAAAGAGGAGCTTGCCCAGGTCGTGGATTAGACCGGTCAGCTGCATCCAGCGGGGCTTGCCGTCGCGGCGAATGGCCTCGGCGGACTGGAGGAGGTGCTCAATCTGGGAAAGGCTAGTGTCGGGGTCTGATTCGTCGATCAGGGTGTTGAGTTTCTCCATGGCTTCCCAGACGGTCATCTCGGCGCGCGTCTTGCTGTGGAAATCGTGGCGGGCCTTTAGGTTGTAGGCGACGGTCTGCTTGGTGTGCTGTTCCTTGTAAAAGTTCTTGACTCGGTCGCTGGCGTCTTCGTACTGGCGGAAATTGGTCTTGTCTTTTTCCTTGTCGAACTCAGACTCTTCGTATAGACCTTTCTCTTCGGCCTCTTTCTTTTCAGCCTCGCGCTTCTTCATATCCTTGAGGACGTTGATTTCGTCAATAGCGTCGGAGAGCTCTTCGAGTGCCTGGCCATCCCGCTTCTTGAAAACAGGAGAGGCCTGTGGGGAGATGGCGACTGGTGCCATTTTGAATGTGTGGGAGAAGTGGTGTCCCTTGGTTTTTATAAGATATAAGATTGAGGCTTAATAGTTGCCAGATGAGTTTGCAATTATCAAATCGGAAAGTCTGGAGTTGAAAGAGATAGGACACCGAGTGTATATATAGGTGTCAGCCAGGGAAATCTAGTATAGGGAATATCGCGTGTAGATTTCCGATGTCAGCGATTGTGCGAGGATTCTCCCCAGATCCATTTGCCTGATTTGCCATGATATCGATGTACAACATGTGCGGGACGAAAAATTATGGAACATCACGGATTCTGGCTTCCGCGCCGATGAGGATCTGGGTTGCTCTCCAAAAGGACGACGATGATTGGCAGCCATAACGACTCCACGAACCCAAGCCAACCACATGGAGTGGTTGTGATGTCAAGTGGAGAGGAATTAGTCGAACTGGAAGACGGTTTCCGTAGATCAGCTGATTTATTATCTGGATTTTGATCTGACGGTTATTGTATGGGGATCTTTATTCATTTTGAGGTTGATGGAGATCTTTTCAAGATGAGATGGATAATATATCCCTCGGAGAATATTCCAGAGAACATTCTAGAGAACATTCTAGAGAACATCGAACATCCCACACGATGATCAAAGGTGATTGATGGAAAAAAGCACGACATCAGGCACGGAACAACCCCGATAACCGCGGGGTGTTGTTATCCTTAGTAAACTACCCCCCACGCCTTCCTTTTCTTAACATTTTCTACTTAAATTTGTTTATATTCCTTTTTCTATATTGTAAATAATCTTCTTTGTCTCTTGATACCCTATAAATTCACAATGGCTGCCAACGATACCCGTTTTAAGCTCAACACTGGAGCTGAGATTCCCGCACTCGGCCTGGGAACATGGCAATCCCAGCCTGGCGAGGTTGCGCGCGCTGTATTCCACGCTATCAAGGTGGGCTACCGTCACATTGACGCCGCTCTTTGCTACGGCAATGAGAACGAAGTTGGTCAGGGTATCAAGGAGGCCATTGACGCCGGCATTGTCAAGCGCGAGGATCTCTTTGTGACTACTAAGCTGTGGTGCTCTTTCCACGCCCGTGTTGAGGAGGGCCTCCAGCAGAGTCTGACAGACCTCGGACTCGACTATGTCGACCTCTATCTGATGCACTGGCCTCTGGCAATGAACTCCAAGGGTGAGTTGAGCTTCTTCAAATATACATTTTCGAGGCGCTGACTACTTCCACCGCAGGCAACCACAACATCTTCCCCAAGCTCGCTGATGGCTCCCGGGATATTATTCACAGCCACTCCCACGTCACTACTTGGAAGAGCATGGAAAAGCTCGTCGGCACCGGCAAGGTCAAGGCCATCGGTGTTTCCAACTACAGTGTCAAGTTCCTCGAGGAACTCCTGCCCCAGGCCACCATTGTTCCCGCTGCCAACCAGATCGAGAACCACCCCTTGCTCCCTCAACAGGAGATTGTCGACTTCTGCAACAAGGCTGGCATCCACATCACAGCTTACAGCCCTCTAGGCAGTACCGGCAGCCCGCTGTTCACTGCCGAGCCCATCGTGGCCGTTGCCGAGAAGCGCGGAGTTACTCCGGCTACTGTTCTGCTCAGCTGGCACAGTAAGTATTCTTCGAGATTCTGCACCCTAGATTAGATACAGCCTACTAACTCATTGTTCTCCTAGTCGCCCGTGGCTCTTCAGTCTTGGCCAAGTCCGTCACCCCTGCCCGCATCGAGGCCAACCGTGCCGACTTGATCCACTTGGATGCTGAAGATCTGGCGTCCCTCCGCAAGTACAGCGATGGTCTCCAGGCCGAGGGAAAGCTCCAGCGCTTTGTGTACCCTCCTTTCGGTGTCAACTTCGGTTTCCCCGATAAGCAGTAAGCTTTTTTTGTAGCAATGGACTTGCCACATGTATAGAGGGTCGGTGCTTTTGCGTTTTATGACATGGATACCAAAATGGAAGATTTATGATTTCATGAATAATACTTCATACTTGAACTATACCACGACTATGCTTCCACCACTTATTATATGGACTTACCTGCTCCGTATAGCCATTCCTCAGACTACCCAACCCCGCTTTATACCCAAGACCACCTGCCACTACGTACTTGAGCTCTAGTCTAACCATTTCCGGTTTTAGCTTCACTTTTACTTGAATTTACGATTAATTCCAATTCAAATTCGACATTCTATTAGGCAAAGTCTCGTTTTCTGTTCTTTTTGTCCACCACCTAGTCAACTGAAAGCAATGCCAGATTTCTGATATCAAAGCTAGTCAGAATCTGATCAGATGGGGGAAATAAATGAGGCTCCCTCTCCTTACCCAACTGCACTTCCCAGCACCCATCCGTCACACCACGCAGGCCTATTCCAAGGTTTAGACAGGCCGCGCAGCCACACCCCGGATAGTTTGTGTGTGTGGTAAGTTCCCGGACGCTGAGGCAGGTCTGTGCCGCGGGTTTATAAATGGAGACCCCGCGTATGTAGTGGTTTCCGTTTGTGACGGAACAAGAATAGGAGGAGCGGATCGTGGATGATTTCCCTCCAAGACCTTGTTCTTTTGTGTTTCGAAGGAAGGCCTGGAGGATGGAAACTCCGGATTGAGAAAGTGAGGTGAAAGTGAGGGGACTGTGACGGAAAGTCGGTTCTCTCTTTTCCGTCGGCGCTGGATTGCCTGGCGTTGCTTCCTCGCACCCTTACTATGGTGAGTATTATTGTGTTTCTGAGCAGCTGTATGTCCTGTGGTAGTCTCATCGTCAGAACTTGGGATGGGGCATTGAGACTCGACGGCTTGGAGGACCCGGCTGTCAGTGCGGTTTGCACATTCCACAAGCATCTCGTACAGAGAGTAGAGAAGATCTCTCTTTCTAGCATTGATAGGCCGAGCTTGAGTTTTGGTAGGATGGGGTGAGGCGCCTGGCTCAGCAGAGATGGCAGAAGGAATGTGGTTGGTTGGCAATGCCAGTCCATCTGGCGAGATAAGGTCCTTAGTAGATCACCCTCTTGGGCGGCGATTCGGGAGGGCCAAGGGGCCATATTTGACAATCTTAAAACGAGAAAAAAAAAAGAGAGATGATAGAATTGTTTGTCAAATGTACTGGTTGTGCTGTCTTATGGGACAGAACTAAGCCAGAAGAAGATTTCGTTGAGAGGCTTGGGGAATCAACAAAGGAAGCACAGGCACAAAAAGACACGCACTTGATGAAGTCGGTGCAGACTTGTCTTCGAGATCAAGTGATGTTGCAAAATTGTAGAATATCCCCAAGTAGAAATAGGCTGTGAAGAAGACAAGAGAGACGGAAGACAAAAGAAACGAAAATGAGAAGTGAAGTGAGAAGTGAGAGACGAAAGAGGATGGAGATCAGATGTGACGACAATAGAAGTACTCTGATCTTGGACAGAGACTTAATCATGCTCTGTCGCTATTGACATTATAATCGTTTGCTCACCATCGCCATGGCGATCATACTTCATCTTGCACATGATCCTATGCCTGGATACTAGATACGACAAATTTCGAAGAAATGGTAAGGGTAAATGATAGCAATTTGCGCTGCATGCATATTTGTCTTGCATAATATTGCTTGGATGGTGTCTCATGGTGTACTATGGTGGTTATATATATGAATTGGTGTTCTCGTCTAAACAATGAGATCAACATTTGAGGGCTTTGAGGTCACGTGTGACAACCACCCATGGATGGTACATATTCTAATGTTTCAGTGCCTGTTAATGCTAGTAGCATCCATAGATATTAGGCTTGCATAATCTAGAGAGATACATCCATGAATTTTAGCTGTAGACCGTTAGAGAACCTAGAGAACCATATCTGTTCCTAACGCCTCAAAACCACCTGCGCAGGTTTGAATTCCATGGACCGCAAGTCGTTGTCGAGATAAACACACTAGGAATTATATCGAGTTTTATCTGATTTTCAACAAAATTCAAGTGTATGGGCAAAAAAAAAACATCTGCAGAGTCATCTAACAAGGCGCTATTTTTTCTACTAGGGAGTGGAACCCAGGCTACCAGGTTGATGCCTTTGAAGTACGTAATGGATATCCCGTAGGAGGTACCACTAGATGAAGTCAGCCGAATCCTGACATCCACAGAGGACCATGGACTGCCATTTGGCGGGTCATTTGTCTGACTATCCACCGAAGGCCATCGGATCAGATAAAAGCGCCGGTACGCTAACAGGACCCAGACTAGCAGGCGAATCTAATCAGATTATCAGAGAAATTATCAGATTCCATACCATTCGGAACGTTTCCAGGAATCATGAACCCGAGAGGCATCCGACTGCGCCTAGGCACGTAGCCATATCCACCCAGCAACGTGGTAGAAGCTCGGCCTGACTTTCTATAGGGGGAAATGTTCCTGGAAGATCAGTCTGAGCCCGGCGGCCTGACTATTACTACTTTCATGTTTAAAACTATGTGGATCGATATCTTCAGCCATGTGTGATCAGGGGTGTTTCTCGGACAAAGGCGCACCTGGAAAAAAAGTTATCAGATCCTTTCGTCCCTGGTTCTACCTTCCAAGGTAAGTAGAGTGGATGGGCTTTCGTCATACGTGGGTCTGTTCAAATGACACCGAGCTTTGTAAACTCTTAAGGGAGGTAAGGAGTAAATTGTTTTTTATGTGTGTATGTACTGCAAAACTCCATAGCATTTATTTGAAGCACATGAAGACAAGTATTTGTTTCATTCATACTTTGATACATAGATTACTTACATACTTACTAGCGGTATATATTTTTTGTAATTTATTTAAAATACCACATTACAAAATTACATACCATACAACTGTTCTCCTGGTAAACAAAACAAATACTAAGCGAGCTGCAGGTCGCTGAAAACTCGGCGTGGGGCTCCTACGATTCTTGGCGTACAATGTCGAGAGTGAAATACTCTGTGAACATACAATGCTTTCGGAAGTTGAATACGGAGTACGGAGTACTTGGCATAATAATAATCAAGCTAGCTCTCCAACCATATAGCCTTGCAATGCTGATATTATTAGTATGCCTCAAAGGTTTGGCAAGAGGGCCCTAAAGATTACAAGAATTGAAAAATTTGTTCGGATGGTCATAACATTCTGCATTCAGATCGTCATGTGAATATGATTAAATAAGTTACAAAAAGCAAAGCTGGTCGAAACTGCCCGTGGACAGCTGGCCATATTTTGGATATAATAGGAAATGGATCATCAACAGAGTCGTTGAAACATATCTCCAAGGGCGAAAGCAAACACCCTAGAAGACAGTACCCTTGACCTGAGCAACCTTCTTCAGGTCAATGTCTCGGATCATGAGAGCCCAGAAGATGCACAGACCCATGAGACCGGTACCAACAGCAAGCATTCTTGTCTGAGAATAGGCATAAGCTTCCTGGATGGCCAGTCTCGCGGCGGATCCGATGGGATAAGATATCTGCTGGGCAAGATCCTCGTAAATCAAATCGATGTCTCCCATTGCAGACTCTGGAAGCCTCGTCTCAAGGGCTTTGTAGAACGTGTTGGTCCAAATTGCGGCGCAAATGGTAGAACCGGCAGCATTGCCGACAGTTCCCACGACATTCAGCAGAGCAAGGACAGTTGCGACGTGCTGGTGGTCGGCGGCAGCCAAGATAGCAAGCTGCTCAACAATGATGAAGACAGATCCACCAATGGAGATGAAAATCTGGCACATGACAAGATAACCAACAGATTGGTTGGGACGACGGAAGTGAATCATCAATCCCTGGGCAAAGATGTACAGCGGAACCGCAATGTAGAGAGTCCACTTGAAGCGACCAGTCCTGCGAATGATGAAACCGACTCCGAGCAAAAGGAAGCCGGAGACAACGTCGAAAGTGTTGCTAACGTAACCGGCCTCGGAGATGCTGAGGTCATTGACTACCTGCAAAAAGGAGGTATAATAGTTGTTCCAGCAGTAGTAAGAGAGCTGGTATGTCGCGTCGAGCAAACATGCACCAATAATGGTTCGATCAGTCAACAGGCTGAAGTTGAACATTGGCGTCGGAGCAAAGCGGAACTCCCAAACAAGGAAGACGCCAAGCATAACGAATCCGAGAACGATCATAGCAATGATGTAGCCTGATGCCCACCCGTTAGGAGCGTAAGTAGAAATGCTGAATGGAAGGAGGAAGATTGTAAGGCCGATAGAGAACACGAGAACACCAAACACTATGCAAGTTAGTATTTTGAAAGGTTTAATGCTTTGGAAAGCTCTTTACTCACAATCGAACTCCTTGGTATAGTGCCAAACGCTTTGGAGCAAAGTCCGGCCGCTAGGCTGCTTGACTATGAGACCATTGTGCTTGGCCTTCCTAAGGTTGGCCTTCAAGATGAAGTAAAGGGGTGATGCAACAATAGGGAAGATAATGGAGAATGCACCAAAGGCCCATCGCCAGCTAATGTCTTCGTAGAAACCCTCGGCAGCCTTAGGGCCAGCGAACGCTGTGATGATGTATGGCGAGGAGGTGAAAGCGTAAGCCAAACCTCGATTCTTGAGCTTGGAAATATCGGCGGTGATGACATCGACGCAGTATGTCATACCTCCAAATCCAATGCTGTAGAAGACGTAGGCGGCGCAGAACGTCGGAAGGTTGTTGCACACAGCCATGAGAACCAGACCGAGAGTAGCAAAAACGGTCATGGCAAGGAAACCTTCTGCACGGCCCCAAACGTCCATAACCTTGGCAGTTGGGATGTACACTGCGGCTGTCATGGCGTCTGCGACAATGTAGATGACATTCAGTAGGGAGTGGCTCTCAAAGTCACTGGTGACATAGCTGAGCAAACTGTAATTAATCGAGGATTGCATAGCATTGACGAAGTACAAGAACCAGATGCTATTGAAGATACATGTTAGTGAACAAACTAGTTTTCATGGGTCGATTTCCCGTTAGGGTAAAAGGGAAGAGCATACTTTACAAAGACCGCAATCAGCATGGTCCTCGTCCAGCTCAAAGTCACAGCCTCGACTTCCTTGACACCCTGCTGTACATCTTCGGTGGGAACTTCAGGGTTTTCCTTGTTGGGTACAGCAACAGTCTCGGTGGGAATTTCACTCTTTTGTTCGCCATCAGCGACCACAGGGACTTGAGTGATAGACTCTTGGGTTGATGATCGCCGGAAGGCAGATCGGAACCTGGAAACACCCATGTCGTTGATCTGGAGATCTGGAAATATAAAAAGTAGGTTGGACGAACTCAAAAAAAAAGACACAGAACCCAAGGGAAATCCTTGCCCTTATAGCAAATACAATCTCTTGCTGTCAGTGCTCCAGATCCAGCGCTTAAAAAAAACACACCGAACTCGGCACTTTGGTACAATCTTGGAAGACTAATGTACGCCACGCCATGAGAAATGAACCAGTAGAAAAAGTCTTGGCGATATCTTAGCGTTCATTCGCCGGAAACTCCAGTATGTAATAGATAATGTTTTTCTCCTCTCTGGGGCTTCTTCGCGCAGGCCATGTGTGGTTAGCCCACTTAGGGCAATGGCCAGAATGGGACATCACGAAAGCATAATCTAATCAGATTACATGGGTAATCCGGTTCGTATACGAGATAGATGTAGCGAGGGCAACGTTAACCGGGAATGGAACCGCTTGAAGCTCCAAGCAGCCCGTAGAGGCTTCCCGTTGAGGGAATTAATACGTGAGACGGGCTTGGCATGGCTTGGCACTCAAGATGGAATTGTCCCGCCGCGACAAGAGTCGGATAAAGAAATAAGAAAAAAACATATATATCAATGAATGGGATTGGCTCAATGTGACTGGGCGTCGGGGCCAGCCCTAAAAGCTGCTAAACGCGCGGGATCCGTGCAGATTCACCCCGTTGTACTCCGACTAGTGGTATGTAATATATTTGTATTAATTGATTCCCACGAAACACGCATGATAGAGATTTCTAAGTTTGTTTGGAATATTTATGATAGTAGCAGTCATCTACTCCGTATAGGCATGGAAATAGTTCATGCACACCTCCAGGGTTGTTTAAAGTGCTTACCATATGCATTGTGTTTTGAACCCAAACAATCCAAGGAAATATTAATTACGTCGCGTTACAGTTAATCAGATAAGTACAGGCCCCACTATCAACCATGGCACCGCCATATGACAGTGGAAACTAGTTGCGCCACCCAATCTGATTATGGAGTACTCCGTTGTGTGAGTGAACTTTTTCCCTCTCACAATTTCGAATTCTTCCAGCTTGGTGACCGCTTCTCCACAAACGCCTGGATGCCTTCGGCAAAGTTAGGGCCCCCAACCAACCGGGGATACCACTGATCCGCCAAATCTGATACAGTATCCTCCACACTGCCAGCTTCCCAGCTCATCCGAACACCCAGACGGCCAACAATAAGGGAATCAGGGCTGTTTTTGCACATGACCTCGGCAACTTCGACTGCTGCTCGGACAACATCGGCCGGTGAATCTACCACTTGACTTATAAGCCCCCAGTCATGTAGCGTGGTGGCGCTCACATTCCTGCCAGTAAGCACGAGATCCATGGTGCGTTGCAGCCCAATGGTGCGGGTCAATCGCGGCAAGCACCCGGCCACTGGCACGATGCCTCGCTTCACTTCCGGAAGGGAGAAAATGGCTGAGGACGAGGCTAAGATAAGATCACAATTCGCCACCATCTCAAAGCCTCCGCCCATGCAAATGCCGTTTACAGCAGCAATGATCGGTTTCTTGCCGGTCCGGCGAGGCAATCCGGCCAGGCCCGGGGCGGACATGTCATTGACAACACCAGCTTTGTTCATAGCGTTCCATTCTGTTCACTTCAGAGTCAGTCTGTGACTTTGGTATTTTGGTTGGTAGAAGAGAAGAAACCCACCTCCTAGATCAGCTCCTGTACAGAAGGCTCGGCCGACACCGGTGATTATGGCAACCCATAAGCTTTCATCTTCATCAAACAGCTCCCAGATCTTGGCAATCTCTCGACTTGTAGTCTTGTCAATGCAATTTAGCTTGTCCGGTCTATTGATTGTGACCTGCACAACCCGCTCATGCGGAAAAGAGATATAGAAATTCTCATGATTCAAGGGTCTTGATCGTAAAGACATGATGAATTGTGAAGTAGAATATGCACAGTATTGTGACTAATTCAACTCTAGGCTTGGACTTTATATTTTCTCTTGGGCCGGGCTACGGATTATGTATTGTCATTCGTAGGCCCCAGGGGGGGGGGGGAAGCTCGGTCGCAGAAAGCTTCCACGGAACCTCGGAACTTAAGTCCAGAACCAGCAAGCGATATCGGTATTCTGTCCATACAACATACAATATTGTACATACAGTGTTGTACGCCGTACTCCGTACACTGTTCATATTTGAAAATAACAGACCCATAGGGCGATCTCCGAAACAAAAATTCCACTTTAGGACTTGTTGCAAGATTCGACCTCGGTTACTATGTCTTAGCTTGATCATCCCTAGCCTTTTTGGGATCTCACCTACATATAATCTGATTGTGCAAGGCGGGGATCTGTCTTTTTTTCTTACCTCGAAACTCCAATTCCTTCAAAATTCTTGATCCTACCCTTGACGATTGAGAAATCTACGACAATGGCCTCAAAACCACACCAGTATCCTTTGGTCAAGCTACCGCACCCTTATCTGACCGCATATCGCGTGAACACTGTCGCTGGATCGACACCAGCTAAGCACAACTTGACACTCGATGAGCAACCCGCAAAGGGCCGGTCTTTGCCTGAACAGCTACACTCAGACTCGCTTTCATGGCTTGATTTGACATTCATTCCTAAAGTCGAGCAGCCACCTATCTCAGATAATACTCCCTGGGGTCGCGCGCGTCGCAGTCCCCAGACTGTCTTCCAATGGTCAGGGAACAGCGCTCCTTCTTTGGGCCAAATTTGGAACGTGATTCATGCTATTTACCTCGGCCACCCAACAATCGAGTATTTCAGACTGACTCTGTCCGGCGCAGGGCAGGAAGTCATCCAAAATGAGCTTCTTACCACCGGATTGGCAATCAAGCACCCGAGAAACCTACGGGATAGAGAAAACAAGGCCCTGCAATTCGATGATTTACTGATCCTCCGAAGCGCCTTCTGGCAAGGTGCTGCTTCTCCATTGGGCCCTCGTCCCATCTGGGTGGTGGGAGATGGCACAGACGGCCCCATGCGGGAGCCTTTGTCTCAGTATCCCATCATGCCAGAGAACTACCAAATGACAAACAAGTTCCCCGAGGAACCTGTATATACTCGCCACCCGACTCGCCGCCCCAAGCCGCACCCCGGATCCATTGCCTACAGTCGCTACATCCCAGAAATCAACGAGCACTTCTCACTGGAAGTCGTCGACTGGGAAAGTGCGGAGCACGTCCAGCTGTTTAACAAGTGGCAAAATGACCCGCGTGTTGCCGCAGGCTGGAATGAGACTGGAACTATCGAACAGCACACCGAATATCTGCGCAAACTGCACTTCGATCCCCATGTGCTGTGCTTGTTCGGACGCTTCGATGATACCCGCTTCTCGTACTATGAACTGTACTGGTCAAAGGTAAGATTTCCGACACATTCGCCCTTTAGCCTGGCATTGACGCTAACATATTGTCTATAGGAGGATCATTACGGCGCCCACTACGATGCTGGAGACTATGATCGCGGCCGTCACTCTCTCGTCGGCGATGCCAGCTTCCGAGGTGCACACCGCGTGAATGCCTGGTACTCCAGCTGCATCCACTATGTCTTCTTGGACGATCCCCGGACCGCTAATGCTGTCGGCGAGCCCAAGGCCACCGGCGCGACTATCTTGTCCTACGAGAACGCCCAGGGACTCACAATTGGCAAGTACGTCGATCTCGGCCATAAGCGATCGGTGCACTCGATTTGCAGTCGCGAAAAGTGGTTCCAGTTGTGTCCTCTATTCTGGGACGGGCGCGAGCGACCTTTAGAATCTGCTGATCGCGCCGCATGGAATGCCAAACTGTAAATTTGCTCGTGCTTGACTATTTCTTGACTCTGATCGGCAAAACTCAATATACAATGTACAAAATTTCATGACATGTGTTTTTATTTTTTTTTTTTCCCATCATCATCCCGAGACAAGTGGGGGTAGCTCGTGTTAGTCCATTATCGAGCTTCCTTGTTGGGGCAGTTCCTCCTAGCAACGCGTTGTCTACTCCGCTTTGCCCCAATCAATCAGATAATCTTTCGGGGGGTTTTTTTTTAAATTGCATGATGTGACGAGACCCACTTGGCTGCATTGTTTTTGCATGTAATAAATAATAATGAAATTATATTGCGTGTATTGCATTTATTCTTACAAAATATTCTTTTTGGACATATGCAAGATATCAACCAATATGCATAGCGCGATGGAATATCAAGATAAAATATCAATCAACAGGATGCGCCTGCTAGCTCTGAGAGAGAGTTTAGAGATGATTCATCAATATTTTCAGTACGGAGTAATGTCTCATCTATCCACCAGCAAAAGCGAAGAGTCCGAAAGTTCCACATTTTTTTAAAAAAAACACACAACGTATTTTATATGGACGTATAAAATGGACGTAAAATACAGTATATTGGAAATAACATGCACAATACAACTGTATCTACCCGAACATACACGTATAAACGGTAGCGGGGAACCACGGTACACAGGCTCCATTTTGATCTGATAACCCACGTCTGTATAATTGAAATTCTTCATGCCCCCCCCCGAGTGGGCTGCATCTTTGGATCCAACTGTCAAAAAACCGATGTCGGCTGATTGAAAAATTAGATCGGCATGTTAAACATCCGGAAATCCCCTGGAAATTTCAACCTTCACACTTGGCATACATCTTTCTTTGGGTCTTAGTTGCAACCCAAGCTAAAGTCGCTTCGCCGAATGGATTCACGCTAAGGAGTGGGTGCAATTTTCATGGTGACGCCACTTTTAAACTAGCAAAGCGATAAATTGATCGCTTGTGAGAACTTAGCTTCTTCAACACTCAAACGACAATCCCAGTGTTGAACGCCATTTTCGAGCCACCATGGGTTTCGGGAACCTTGCAGACTACCCAAGGCTGCTTGTGGCTGCCAATCCCTCGCGACTTGAATTGGGAACCCTCTTTGTTGGCCTGGCGTCTTCAATTGCATCGGGTGTCCCTTTCCCTATCATTGGTATCATATTCGGCCAACTGATCGATGATTTCAACGCAGTGACCTGCGAGGAAACTGCTGGCTCCTCGGGAGGTGACTCTAGCGATCAGTCGGACATCAACAGCAAAATTCTGCTGATCGTGTACTTGGGTATTGCTCAATTCGTTTTAATCTACCTCCACCTACTATGCTGGACGATGACCGGTGCGCGCCTGGCGCAGCGACTCCGCGAAAAATATCTCCAGAACCTGCTCCGACAAGAACCTTCTTTCTTTGATAACCTGCCCGCCGGAGAAGTTGCCTCTCGACTTAACACTGATATCCAAACAATTCGCTCCGGTACAGCCGAGAAGGTCGGAATCTGTATCTCGAGTTTCTCCTTCTTCGTCACCGCATACGTTGTTGCATTTATCAAAGACTCCATTCTTGCCGCGATGCTGATTTCCCTGGTTCCCGCATATTTCATCATGTCATTTGTTGGAAGTTATTATATCGAGAAATATACTGGGCGCATGTCGGATTATGCTGCTTCCGCTGCATCGATTGCTTCCGAAGCGCTCAACAACATTGTTGTGGTGCATGCCTTTGGTGCGAACGGTCGTCTGGAGGAGAAGTTCTCTAAGGCTCTGAAGGACTCGGAAACCGAGGGATTGAAAAAGGCCACTGCCACTGGTATTCAAGCCGGTGTCTTGTATTTCGTCGCCTATGGTGCGAACGGTCTGGCATTCTGGCAAGGAAGTAAGCAGATCGCCGCAGCAGTGCGCACTGAGTCGGCGGGTGCCACTGTCGGAGCTGTTTTCACTGTCATCTTTGTCTTGGTTGAAGGTTGGTTTGATTCGTACCTTACTCCGGAATATTTACTAACATCAGCGACAGCTACCCTGCTTCTGAGTCAAGTTGCACCTTTCATCCACTTATTTACACAGGCCGTTGCTTGTTACCACAAGCTGCGTGACGACATCGAGCGTGTATCCTTGATTGATGGATACTCGGATGCGGGAATTCGCCTCACCCAGGCGGAGGGCGGATTTGAATTCAAGGACGTCTCCTTCATTTACCCCTCCAGACCCGAGATCACTGTGCTTAACAAGATCAATCTCTCCATTGCTCCTAAGAAGCACACAGCCCTTGTTGGCCTTTCTGGAAGTGGAAAGTCCACCATTGCAGGTTTGGTTATCCGCTTATATGATGCCACTGAAGGTGAGATCACTTTCGATGGCCAGAATATCCGCGACGTCAATACCCGTGACCTGAGAGGATTCCTCAGTCTTGTGCAGCAAGAGCCCTCCCTCCTCGACAGATCCCTCTTGGAGAACATCGCACACGGCTTAGTAAACTCAAGCAAACCAGCCCATGCACACTTGAAGACGGCACTCCTCGGAACCGATCTCTCTGATCTCGCGACTGAAGTCAGAGATGGCCAGGATCTTATGACCGCAGCAGAGAGACGGGGCCCAGAAATCGTCGAAATCGTTCAATTGGCCAAACAGGCTGCTGCGCTTGCCGATGCCGATGGCTTTATCGAAGCATTGCAGTATGGGTACGCCACAATGGTTGGCTCTAGTGGTCGACTCATCAGTGGTGGTCAAAAGCAACGAGTCTCTCTTGCCCGTGCGCTTGTCAAGGATCCTGCTGTTCTCATTTTGGATGAAGCCACCGCTGCTCTGGATTCACGCAGTGAACAGCGCATCCAGCGGGCTATCAACAACATCTCAACTGGTCGAACCGTCATCACTATCGCTCATCGTCTGTCAACAATCACAAACGCTGATAAGATTGTCTGTATGCACAAGGGAGACATTTTGGAGGAAGGTACTCATTCGGAGTTGATGGCTGGAAATGGACCTTACTCTGAGCTGGTCAAATTGCAGACTCTCGGAGCCGCATCCGCATCCAGCAAGACTGATACCACTGCCAGCATTGAGAGCATCAGCAAGTCCGATGCTACCTCTATTACCGACGTCGAGAACGAGAAGGGTGGTCTTTCAAATGACTTCGAACCCACAAAGGAAACCCGTGTCTCAACCACTGAGGCACCAGCTGGTGACTCTGAGGAGGAGGAAGAGGAAGAGCCTGAGACCCCGGTCAAATCCGTGTGGGCTCTTTGCAAGGGTTATGCACCAGCCCTCAAGCCTCATTTGCTTGTCATTTTCGCTGCTCTTTTCGGTTCCAGCATGGTTGGCGGAGCCTTCTCTGGTGAAGCTGTTATTTTCGGAAACACGGTCGGAAGTTTGAATCCTTGTTTCAGTGCGGCCAGTATCAGCGAACGGGGTAACTTCTACGGTCTGATGTTCTTCGTTCTTGCGATCATCGAGTTCTTTGCAAACATTGTTAGCTGGGGAGGATTCGGCCTCGTCTCTGAGAAAATCGTCTACAAAGTGCGAGTCTTGTCATTCCGGTCACTATTTGAACAAGATCTCCAGTGGCATCAGTCTAACGGCCGATCACCTGCCCTACTTCTGTCCTATATTACCAGAGATGGAAATGCCCTTGCTGGAATGAGCGGATCTGTCATCGGAACTCTGTTCTCTATCACCGTTAACCTCATCGCCGCCATTATTTTGACCCACATTATTGCCTGGAGAATTGCCTTGGTCTGCCTAGCCCTCGTCCCTCTCCTGCTCGGAGCTGGTCTCATGGAGCTGATGGTCCTCGGCAAATTCGAGGATCGTCATGAAAACGCCTACACCAAGTCTGTCGACATCGGCGTGGAAGCAGTTACCTCTATCAAGACAATCGCCTCTCTTTCTCTTGAGGAAAACACTCTGAAGACCTACCGACGATCCCTGAAAGGACCTCGCAAGGAGACATTCATGGTCACTGTGCAGGCAAGCTTATGGCAAGCCATGACCTACTTCTTGGGTAACATGGTGAATGCATTAGCATACTGGTGGGGTTCCAAGCAGATCATCAATGGCAACTACACCCAAACTCAGTTCTTGATTGTTGTCTTCTCGCTCCTGGTCAGTGCTTTGCTTTGGAGTCAGATGTTCGCGCTCGCGCCCGAGCTTTCTGCCGCGCGATCCGCAATGTCCAGAATCCTTGGCCTGATCGAGATCGGTAAAGACAAGATGGATTCCCGGCTCATTCCATACAACAACAATGATGTCGAGGCGACTGAAGAGAAGCCTACCTACAACTCTGGAAGCTCAGCCTCAAGTGTGCAGCTCCGCGATGTCCACTTCTGTTACCCTGCCCGGCCGGACATGAAGGTGCTGAAGGGCTTGAATGTCGATATTCGCCCCGGCAAGTTCTGTGCCCTGGTTGGACCCAGTGGTGCCGGTAAATCGACCATTATCTCCCTAGTCGAACGCTTGTACACACCTGAATCTGGTTCTATCGTGATCGACGGTGTCGACGTGACCAAGACCTCGGATGTCTCTTTCCGTGACTGGATTTCCCTTGTGCCCCAAGACAGCGTTCTCTTCGAGGGAAGCATCGAGTTCAATGTTGGTCTCGGTGCCCGGCCCGGTCACAATGTCACTCTTGAAGAAATTCAGGAGGCTTGCAAGCTCGCAAACATCCACGATGTTATCACTTCATTGCCCGATGGCTACCAGACCCTCTGTGGACCCAGTGGTAACCAGTTCTCTGGAGGCCAGAAGCAGAGATTGTCCATCGCTCGTGCTCTTGTTCGCAAGCCCAAGCTTCTGATTCTTGATGAATCGACTAGTGCTTTGGACGCTGAATCCGAGAAGCTCTTGCAAGATGGTCTGGAGAAGGCTGCACGGGGAATCACTGTCATCGCCATCGCTCATCGTCTTCACACCATCCGGAAGGCCGATGTCATCTTCTTGATTGATGGTGGTGTATGCACTGATTCTGGATCTCATGACGAATTGCTTGAGCGGTCCGATAGCTACCGGGCAAATGTCATGCACCAGACAGTGGCGACTTGAAAAAATTATAGATCCTACTTAAATTTCTAGTACTTGTTTAATATATATCCCAATTGTTTATTCTTTGTCACTATTATTATGCAATCTGTTACAATTAGAAATATCTGGCATCTTTTGGCATTCGAATGAAGGATATCAAAGGCACGGTATGAAGTCGTAGTCGTAAATCCAGGCCCAATACTTCGGAGGTCCCGCTGTAAGTATCCAAGTCCTTTAGTTCTGCAGAAATGACAAATATTGGAATGTAACAAAAACAATACAATCAAATTTCAAACCATCTCCAATCTATCTGCTTTATAAAAATTTCATATATCATATTCAGGCACCAAGCGCCAGGGGATCCGGGCGACAACCCGACAACTCCTGAACAGCAGCAGCCAACTCATCAAGAGTAGCATCCACAAACGTCGCATCCTTTTCACTTCCAACAAATCCAACATGCATCTTCCCACCACGCACAAATGAGACAGCCTTCAGGGGATAGGCGGCATCGCCATGTGGGTTTGAGATATCAACCTTGCAAGAAGATCCAGCGAATGGCATATCATCGAAATCATCCCAGTCCTGGTGATGAACAATCGAATCAAAGGATCGTGCCTCCGGTGACCACTGCGCGCACTGCTTCGAGATCTTCTCGAATCCAAGGAAATCGTGCGCCGCAGACTCAGCACTCTGCTTCTGCACAAAGCGCAACAGATCCATCGCCGTCCACTGCGACTCAAACTTCACTCTGACAGGAGTGAGTTGGTAGCATGGACCCATGACGTTCTCCACATTTGCTAGGTCGATCGTTCGGCCTGAGGTTACCGTGCCGAATGTCACATCAGGTTTGCCCAGACGACGGGCGAGGACCAGTGCCCATGCTGCGGTGAGCACGTTCGCCGTTGTGATCTCCTGCACGGGCTGGAATTCTTCGACTGCCTTCTCGTAGAAGATGGCTTTGTCTGTGGGCTGGACTGAGGCTCCGTCGAGGACAGACAGGGTCGAGTCCTTGAGCAGGTTTCCCCAGTAGTTGACTGCCTGAGTTTGCAGACGTCCGTCGGAAACTCGTGCCATGTATGAGGCGAATGGCTCAAAGTCCACGACCTTGTCTCCGGCATACAGGGTCTCCAAGTCTTGGAGCAGTCTGGGGAGTGAGACACCATCATACTGGGCATGCGAAAGGCCCAGCACGAGACAGTGCTTTCCGTCGGCGCCTTGGACATGGAAGAGCTTGAGGAATGGTGATCCAAGCTCAAAGTTTGACTCAATATCTGCTGTGCAGAGCTCAGTAACGTATTGCTCAATTTCCTTGTCAGCCTCGCGCATGACCACAGGGACATGTGCGTCCTGGAGGACAACTTGAAGGAAGGATGATTCATGCTCAATGAAAACAGTGCGCAGAATATCGTGCGTCTTAACCAGGTCATTGCAGGCGCGTAGCAATTGCTCGCGATCGATTTTTTGGTCGAAGTACAGCATGGTGTATTGGATGGAAGTGCGTGGCGCTCCAACAGTTCCTCTGATGTCGAGCGCTTGGGAATCTGTAACGGGAGACACATCCAGGATGGGCCAGCCTGGGTTGGAAAGCTTGGGCCGGACAGTGGAGGCCAAGAACATCTTGACATCCAGATTGCTCAGTGCGGAGAAAGGCTTGTATGGCTGAGCGCTTTCCTTTGCTTGGTCCACCTTCAGTACCTTGGCTGCATCACCAAGGCGCATGTGTTGGAAGATATTAGCCACTGACAAGCTGTGTCCCTGTGTGCGGAGACTTGACACCAGTTTCATTGCCAAGACAGAGTCACCTCCAAGGCGGAAGAAGTTATCGTCAACGTCAATCTGCTCCGGGCTCAATCGGAGGATCTTCGCCCAAGCGGATTGCAGGATCTTCTCTGTCGGTGATAGTTTTGTCTGTGCCAAGCCCTTCGTCCATGCCTCTTTGAAACCTCCCCGAAGCTGTTCAAGGACGCTTTGAGGAATCTTCGAGGCCAATTGGTTAAGGGCCGTATGATCAAGTTGCTCTAGTCCAGCAGGCAACTTGTCAATCACAACGTAAGCAGAAGGGGCCATGTAGGATGGCAGCGAGTCTCGGATGAATTTGTCGAGCTTCTTCAATGATACAGCAAGTGTAACGGAAATAGTGTCGCAGACAGTCGCCTCCTCGCCGATAATCTCGTATTTTTCCTGTGTGACTCTTACACTGTCTTCCTCAGAAGGCTGGTTCTCGATGAAGACAGCCAGCTCTTGCTCTGTCACTTTTTGGGAGCCTTCTCTCAACGGTTGGAACACGGATGCAGCGGCGCGAGTTCCTGATGGGAGATGTTTTTCGAAATGAGACTCAAGGTCTGCAATATCCACTGCATGTCCTTGAAGAGGTACGACATTCTCCTTACGGCCAACAAATACCAGACTTCCATCATCTTGAAGCTGGACCATGTCACCGGTAGGCTGCACCTTTCCTGATCGGCCAGCGCATCCAGAGCTTCCGGCCACGAGCCAGGCAGGGGACTCGACTGTTTCCCCAGAGAGGCAAGCTCCCTCAAGCCAGAGCTCGCCAACACTACCGATGGGGGACAACAAATCCGGGTTGCGAGCATCACACACCCAAGGAATCACAGTACGAGGATAGACTGATCCTTGTTTGGTGCTCGCATGGGCGCGGAGGTTTCCAGAGGTTTCGTCCACGGAAAGAGGAGGAGTCTGGTTCCATTGCCAGATTTGGTTCACTTCTGTCTCAGGAAGGCAAGAGATCTCATCAATGCGCTTATCAAGACCCTTGGACAACTGCACGCAAGCGGTTTCCAGCTGGGCAAGGATGCGCTGCATCTGTGAACCCTCAATCAGGCTGCTGTCGAAACTGGCGCAAACTCGGAGACCACCCTTGCGGATTCCAAAGCCCACCATAAGCGGGTAAGGGTTGAAATGGAGCGCTTCACGGACGACATCTCCAAGCTCAAATCCAAGCTCACTGCCCACGTACTCGGGATCGGGCTGGATGACCAGTCCGGTGCCTGCTTCGCATGCATACTGCGCATCTTGGCTGACCTTTCTGATGTTTTGCATTCCCATGTGCTGGTAGGGTGTACGAGCCAAGATGGTCTGCTGTACCGTCTGCAAGTACGATTCGACTGAGCTGGACCGGCGGACCTGGATGCGAATGGGGATTGTTGCGATAAGTGGTCCGACGATGCTCTCCACGCCGGGCAGCGAAATATCACGACCAGTGAGCGTCTCACCAAACACGACATCGTCACTTCCAGTGTATTGGGATGCAACGAGGGCCCATGCACCGCGGACCAATGTGGCCATCGTGAAAGGTGATCCGGCACCTGTCTCGAGGGCAATCTGATGTTCGATCAGGCCATTGGGGGTTGGCATGAAGTCGCGAGAGGGCAGGCGGGGGAATTGAGGCCCGACAGCGCCCTTCAACTCCCGTCGCCAGAAGTCATGCATGGCAGTCTCGTCTGTATCACGTACGTACTTGACAAAGTTCCGCATCTGCGTCTTGATCTCGACGGACTGGTTCTGCAAGGCATCGCTGACTTGCTTGAGAACGATGGGCTCTGACCATCCATCATAGAGAACGTGGTGAACGGTCCAGATCATATATCGCTTGTCGTCAGTTGCATTGCTGACAAGGCCGTATCGGGCCAGACTTTGTCCAAGGTTCATCCTCTCGCTTCGGTCATTCTCGAGATACTGGTCCAGATCGGTGGAGTACCTCCAGGAGATGCCTTCCTTCACAACAATTTGCTGAAGGCCCGGGTCTTGGAGCGGCGCCAGACGAGATCGTAGGATAGGGCTTGCTGCAACAACATCTTCCCAAGCCTTCTTCCAAGCATCCAGGGTGATATGTGCCGGAATACATGCGACTCTCTGAGCGATGTACGCCTTTGTCGATTTGAGTGAGAAGGTGAACAATGACTCCTGTGTAGGTGTGCAGAGATAGATATCTTGCACATCTGCTTGATCTACTCCACAGGCTTGTGCTGCTTCGAGGCGGGCGCTCTCGACAGACTGGGAGATCAAAGAAAATGCCGGGATCTCTTCCTGTACTTGAGAGCTGCAAGGCTTAACAACGGTGGCCATCGCCGAAAGGGTAGGATTTCCGAAAGTGCTGATAACAGAAAGATCGAGGTCTTGCGCTCTGCAGACAGACACGAGTCTCATCGCTGCGAGGGAATCACCACCCAATGCAAAGAAGTTGTCATCAGGACGAATGGCTTCTGCGTCGAGTTTGAGTGTCTCGGCCCAGGCCTGTCGCAGGCGTTTCTCAACCTCATTCAGTTCCCGAGAAGCAGTGCTTGCGGCTCCTTGGTCGAGTTGGCGCAAATCAACCGTTGCACCAAATGCTCGCAGTTGTTTACGATCAGTCTTGCCTGAAATCAACACTGGCATAAGATTAACCGGGATATATGTGGTAGGCACCATGTATCTTGGCAAAGTTTTCGCCACGTCCGCATTGGCTTTTGTCAATATGCTGCTCAGCTCGCTTGAGATCTCGTCCAAGGCAAGCTCAGCCTGTCCATGTCCCTTTGGTTGGAAGGCAACGAACGCGACGAGCATTGGCTGGCCCCCGTAATCCTTGGGTGTAATCACCTCGGCAATGACATTAGCTTCAGAAGGCAGAACAGCCTTGAGCTGACTCTCGATTTCGCCCAATTCTACACGCTGTCCCCGCAACTTGACTTGAGTATCCTTCCGTCCAACGAAAACGATACCACCAAGACCGTCTGGGTCATATCTTCCAAGATCTCCAGTCTTGTACAGACGGCCCTGACGACCAGCGTATTCTTTGTGGCCTGCGACCAACCAAGGTGGATCATTAATGAAAGAAGCAGCAGTCTTCTCGGGGTCATTCAGGTAGCCCTGTCCGACAATCGGGCCCTCAACGAGCAGCTCGCCGACAGCACCGACTGGCACAAGCTCGTTGTGGTCATTCGGGTTGGCAATCCACATGGCCGCGCCGTTACCTGGGCCAATGGAGAGGTAATCTCTGCCAGTAGCAGCGCTGGCGTTGA